ATTTATACCATTTTATTATCTTTAAAAATTAATTATAAAATCTTTACTTTTTTTTTTTCTTGGGGATTATTTTTTTTTTTTAAAAGTTTTATTACACTTTTTTATTTATTTTATTTATTAAATTTAAAGTCTTCACTTTTAAAAAAATCTTTTATATAAATTTGCTAATATAACAATACTTTCAAGCATCGGAATGCTCATATTAAAATAAAAACCATAACAAAAACCAAATGATATAAGTTTTATTATTTTCTAAAAAATAAATTAATAATATTTTTAAACAATAAAAAAAACAGAAATTTCAGACTTTAATATTTTGGTGTCCCAAAAATATCAAATCTAAACAAAATTGTTCCTATCACAAATATTTTATTTTTTTTTTTAATTTTTAAAAAAAAATTTTTACTTTTTTTTGAATTTTGTTCAGTTTATAAATAAACTATTTTTTTATTTTTTGTATTTATATTTATTGTTTATTAAATAGTTAAACTGCATTTAAAAAAAAATGCAATCAGATCAACCAACACTCAACAATAAAGTTGAATTATATTTCAAATGTAGAAAATTAAAAGATCTTGATGTTTTCAGTAAATCAGATCCCCAAGTTTTCTTTTTTACAAAAAAAGCAAACAGCGATTGGAAACTTGAAGGTACAACAGAAAAGATCAACAATAATCTCAATCCAGAATTTAAAAAATCAATTAGTACAGTCTACCATTTCGAAGAGATCCAACAAATTAAATTTGTAGTTTTAGATATCGATAAAGAAATTAAATTATTCAAAGATTTCGATGATAACGATACAATTGGTGAATGTGTAAATATAAAATATAAAATAATAATAAAATAGAAATATAACTAATATTTATTATTTATTTTTATAGACCACCACTTTAGGTAACATTATTTCAAAACCTGGTAAAAGATTTGTAGCACCACTTATATATAAAGGTAAAAACAGAGGCGAAATTGAAGTTACTGCTGAAGAAGTTTATGAAACTCGTCAAAACATCTTGTTTAAAATTAATGGTAGTAATTTAGATAAAAAAGGTATGTGTCCCATTTATATTTATTTTCTTTTTATGTAATGAACAAAAATCCAATATTAACTTTTTATCAAAAATAGATATATTCACAAGTGATCCTTACTTTAAAATATATAAAACCAACCCAGCCAATCCAGACAGTAATATTTTAGTATATCAAAGTCCAGTAATTAAAAACACCCTTAACCCAAAATATGAAAAATTCACAGTTAAATTAGAGCAACTAAATGGTGGGGATATGTTTAGGGAATTATTATTTGAATTCTGGGATTATGATTCAGTTAGCGCCCATGATTTTATGTAAGTATTTACCATATCGAAAAAAAAAAATTAAAAATATTAATATTAATATTTTTCTATTTAAAGTGGTATGTTTAGAGTCAATACTGATGAATTACTTAGAGGTGTAAAAAAAGAAATGGCATTAATTAACCCAAAAAAAGTTAGTAAATCATCATATCATAACTCTGGTATTATTCACTTTGAACAAGTTGCATTAGTTGGCGAACCATCATTTATAGATTATATTTCAGGTGGATGTGAAATTAATTTAATTGTAGCAATTGACTGTACTGCTTCAAATGGTAGTCCATTGTCTGAAGGCTCGTTACACTATAACTCACCAAGCTCTCCATCTCAATATGCCAAAGCAATTCGTTCAGTCGGCTCAGTTTTAGCTCCATATGATACCGATGGTAATATCGATGTTGTAGGTTTTGGTGGCAAATATGGTTTTAGTACATCCCATTGCTTCCCATTTGCAGGAGGTGAAGCTAAAGGTGTCGAATCATTACTAATCAAATATTGTGACCATATTAAAAGTATCGAGTTAAGCTATCCTACTAATTTTGAAGATGTAGTTCGTTTTGCAATGAAGAAATCAAGTAAAGATTTTTCATCAAAGTCATTCCAAAAAAAACCTAAATATAGCATTTTATTAATTTTAACCGATGGTGAAATTTCAGACATGGAAAAAACAGTCTCTGCAGTTATTGAAGCCTCTGGATTACCATTATCAATTGTTATGTATGTTTTACCTTTTTATGTATATCTATATTTATAATAAGTTATCAAACTTTTATTAACAATTAAACATTAATTAAAACTGTATAGTGTTGGTGTAGGTAGTTCATCATTTAGTAATATGAACACTTTAGATGGTGATGATGGTTTGTTAACAGATAGAAAAGGTAATCAAGCTAAAAGAGATATAGTTCAATTTGTCGAATTCTTAAAGTATGAACACCAAATTACAGAACTCGCAAGCGAAACTCTCAGAGAAATTCCTTCCCAACTTGTTTCTTTTATGCGTTCAAACAATATTCTTCCAACTCCACAATAATTTAAAATTAACTATAGTGTATATTAAAAAAAAAAAATAAAAAAAATTATAGTATTGTTTGTAAAAAAAAAAAATTTTAAAATATTATTATATAATTTATTAATAAATAATATAATAATGTATATTTAACTATATTTATTAGTTTTTAATCTTTTTTACTGCTATTAGGCGAGGGTAGAGGTGACAGGAAAGATGGCGGCGAAACATTATTATTAATTGGGGTTTCAATTTTAACAACAATCCAAACAGCGGTTGCTTCAGCTCTAACGACACCAAATTGATCTTTTAAAGTTGATAAAACATAAATTTTTCTTCCTTCTCTCTTTTGAATTTTGGTTTCTACAGATGAAAAGCTTTCCAATACAACAAATTTCTTATAATTTACTGATAAATTTGCTGTTACAACATAGTTTTTTGAATTTGAAATTACAATTTTGGGTATATTATTACTTTTATTTTCATTTTCATCTTGATCTTGATTTTGATTTTGATTTTGATTTTGATTTTGATTTTGATTTTGATTTTGATTTTGATTTTGATTTTGATTTTGATTTTGGTTTTCGTTTTGGTTTTGGTTTGATTTTAAATCATTAAAATTATTATTATAAAAATATCTTATGCAACATGCCATGCTATCATCAAAAAATGAGCAAATTGCGCCTCCCATGAACACAATTTGGGGGCCCCTCAGCGGTTGAATTCCAATATACAACACCTGTTAATAAACGCTTACTATACTCTTCTTCGCTATCTATAATTGTTGAACTATCTTCGTCATAATCATTTAAAAAAATTGTGCTTTTTCCTTTCCAGTATAACTTTGATATAAATTTCTTATTTTGATATACATAATTTTCACCTTTGAATCCCAAATTTGGTCTTTGAATTGGATCATCCATGCCATTTCTTGAAATTGGTCTTAAGTCTTCATTAAATTGGTATTCTTTAGACCAATTTGGCCACTCTATATTAGTTTCATCATCAATATTGGTGTTTGTTATTATAATAACTTGATTCATATTATTAATATTACTATTATTATTAATCGTATTAATAGTTTGTTGATTATTATTTATGTTATTTATATTGTTTGTATTGTTTGTATTGTTTGTATTGTTTGTATTGTTTGTATCACCATTAGTAGTTGTGCTACTATTATCATCAATTAAATTTGGTTCATCAATTTGTTTTTCTTCCTGCTGTTTATCTTCTATCTCCTGAAGATTTTTCTTAACATCAAACCCATTAATATTATTATTGTTTTCATTATTATCACTATTATTTAAACCACTTTCATTAATAATATTGGTATTATTATTGCTGATATTATCACTATTAAGTAATTCATCTTTGGTTATATTGATCTCGTTATTATTATTATTAGCATTATTATTATTATTTATATTGTCTTTAATATTAGAAGATGATAAAATTGATTTAAAGAATGATTTTAAAGACATTGCGCTATATCTTTTAATCTTTATTTGTTAATATAAAAGGTTATGTTTGATAGATTTATGAGTTATTTATGTATAATTTTTATTATGTGTATATGAATTGTGGAATTTTTAATTATATATTAATTATTATTATTATTTTTTATTTTGTTTTGTTATTTTATATAGAAATGTAAGAAAAACCAAAGTGTTATAACTGAAAAAAACAATTTTTTTAAAATTTTATTTTTTAAAAAAAATATTTTATTTTTTAAAAATTTTAAATTAAAAAAATTTTATTTTTTTAATATAACAAGTTTTTTTTTTATGTGTATGTGTTTATACAAATTAAAAGACAAATAATATTATCTTATTGTTTATCTATATATATTTATAAAATTATTAGGAGTATAGGATATACTTTATTTTATTTGATTTCATTATTATTATTATTATTGTTTTTTTATTATTATTTAAATTATTTTTATTAATTTAATTAAATTTTATTGGTTTGTTGTTTTAATTTATTTGTTTAGGTTTACCAAATTTTAGATAATTTGTTTTTAATTAATTTTTTTATTTTTTGTTTTTTTATTTTTTTATTTTTTTTTATATTTATTATTTTTTATTAATAATTTTAAAATTATACTAATGTGGGTGTGGGTTAATATTTTAAAATTAAATTATAATATTGATATTAAAAAGGAAATTATCTTTTTTATGACTCCAATAATTAAATTCTGAATATTTTTTATATATATGAAATGTTTATAAATATATATTTATATATATAAAGAACTATTGTTAAGGAACATAATTATCTTTTATTACCAATTAGGGTATAGTTGTAAATGTGAAATAAAAATTCACATAACTATTAAATTTCACTTTAAACTCTTAAAAAAAAAAAAAAAAAACAATCAAATCTTAAAAAATTATTTGAATAAATGAATTTATTTAAAAAAAAAAAAAAAAAAAAAAAGATTTAATTTTATAAATAAATGTAAACTATATGATCTTTTATTTGGTTTTGTTTTGATATTTTTTTTTTATGTTTTTTTAAATAATTTATAAAAGAATATTTTTACAGAAAGGAATCTTGGAGATGAATAAATTACTTTAATTATTATAAGTACAATAATACAAAAGAATGCAACAGATCCAATGATGATACCTGCAAGTTGAGATGTTGTTAATGATTTCTTTTTTGTGCAAATTGAGTCATTTGAATTAGAGTTTGCATTTTTTGAATCTAACAATACACTCCAATCTGGGTCGAGAATAATATTAGTCTGATAATTAGGAACCATGATACCGATGAATGATTGAATTTTATTTGAGTTTCCAATTGCATTTAAATCTTTGTCTAATAATTCATTTCTAACAATCACTGGAGAATCATCCACTAGAGCTCTTTTAATAAATCTACCATAAAATGATTTTTTATCAATTTGAAGCCTAATATAATTTGAGTCTTCGGAATCACTAAACTCTTTACTTGAACATACATCATTTGTTTTTGATGATTCGATCTGTGACATTAATATGATTTGTAATGAATTTAATTTATTTACGAATTTATATTTTGATATTCCGATTGTATATTTCATGGATGATGGATTCATTGATAACTGTTCATTGGCAAAAGTGATGTTAGTTTGATTGGAAAACCATTCCAAGGTTACATTTACTGTTGTAAGTAATAGTTGATTTTTGCTGCCCATGATGCTATTGTTTGAATATAGATTGGTCAAATACTGATTTTTTGAATCTGATATTTTAGTATAGTTCCATTTATCGAAATTATATGTATAAACTGGTTTTAATGTAATATAATCGATTTCTCTCAAAGCAACAATTGAAATAATGCTTTTAATGTTACCCAAATCATCTGAAAAATCTATATTTGTATCTGGTTTCTCTTTGTCAATATCCGGTTGTGGAATAGTTATAACCTGTGATTCACAGTTTTTGCCAATATAGGGTGAAAAGCAAACACAGCCAACATTTAATTTACAATAACCTCTATCTGGCTGGCCTCTGGTTGAAGCTTGACCACAATCTAGATTACATATTGCATTATTATCATCTGGAAACATTGGTATTGCTCCAGTTTTATCCAAAAGCAACACTGAATTAATTGAAACTATGTTTGAAGCATCCCCATTACCATCAATTACTTTAATAAATAATATCTCGATATCATTCTCTAATATCAATCCTGAATAGACTAAAAATGAATCTTCAGCTATATTATAAGTTCCTTGTTTTAAAATTGATTTAAATGCAGGGTCAGTTGACAACTGAATAGTGTTAACATGTCTTAAATTATTTCCATAAAGTATTAATTCCTTCCTTGAATCAACATAAGAACCTGATTTTAATTTAACTTGTTTGTTATAATAACGAGAGGTTGTAAGGTTTACATCTGCAACTAAATTTAAGAATTCTAAATTTTCTCTTGAATAACCATTAAAATTTCCCTTTTTAGTTAAATACAAATTATTTAATTAATACTATATTTAAAATAAATATGCTATTATTTTATTTTTTGTTACTTACATTATTACTTATTAGACCATATAAAGATAAAGATAATGACTGGTTTCCATTTAAGAAACCAAAACCAAATGGAATTAAAATTTCACAAAAATATGAATATGTTGGGGGCACTTGGGACATGAGTTGGCATTTACTTTCAATAATTTGTAATTCATAACCTATAACATAAAGCACTGGCAATTGATCGATTTTCAAACCATTGACATCCTCTACATCAAAATTAACATATAGTGATTTTTCACTTGAAACATCTATTGATTTTTCACTTGGGGACCAAGTAACTATAGATGGATATGTACTATAATCTAACGGTTGTATGCATGATATTTCATATGATAAATAATTGGTTTTTCCCATAAAATTTATAAATGGATTTAATTGTGGATAATTTACAATATAATTAAAATTATTAAATGATGTATATTGCCCTTGAGAATCTTCCAAATAAAGACTTGTGATACTATAGTTCATTGTTGTACAGGAAAAGGGTATGCTTACTAATATTTTAAACTTTGTAATGAATGGGGTATCTAGTAAACTAGTATCCAATGATAAGTCATAGTTATAAACTGAATTGTCTAAACTACCAGTAACTGTACAATTTCCTTTTTTAAATCCATTTGTTTCATCAACAATAGTTAAATACCAACCGAAAATCTTACTACCTTGAGATAATGAATCTGGAATCTTTTCAATATTTGAAACGACTGGACCCATATAATCAAAATAGTTGGAAGTTACATTTAACTGGCATTCTCCTGGCAAAGAGCTACTTGGAATTTCAATATGGTTAATCCAAGATGGGTAAATTCTATATGCTACGGGGCCTTCCATTAAATTACCTGGAACTCTAAATTTAGTTGTCCATTTATTTAAACTTGGTTCGTATTTTAAATAATAAATATGTTTTTTTTTAGTTGATTTTGAAAATTCAAATATAACTGGGATATTATTTTCAAAGTTGTTCTTTGTATTGCCTATTTCTAAAATTATTTGATTATTGTACATTGAATTTGTTGTATTTATATTATTATATAAAAATGAAACTTTAACTGTTTTAATTAATTTATTTAAATCTAAATCTAATAATGTATAAAAAATATTTATTAATAAACAATGAAAACAATAACAATAATGAAATAGAAATATTTACCATTTAAGTAATTTTCCTTTAAATTTAAACTTTTTAAACCATTTGAACTAATGCTGTAGAATTTTTCATTTTTTATCATTAATTTTTTTGCATTGGAGTCTATAAAAACAAATTGGTAACCATTGAGTGAAGTCTCCATAAAATCAAAAGCAATTTGATATAACCCTTCTGATGATAAACTTTCATTTCTATATATCTTAAAATCCATTGGATCAAGAAATCTACCTAAATAAATTGACTCTAAACCGGTATCTCCTTCTCTGGTTTCAGTTATATTGATTCTAATTAAAAAAGTTCTATCTGTGATTAATGTAAAATCAATTGAATTTAAAACTGGTGGTAGATTATCATTATCTAAAATAAAATAACTATTAGTTTTATTTTAAAATAATTTAATAAAATACAATATAAATTTTAAACACATACTTATAACTTGTTTATTTTTATCAAATAAACCAATATCATGGTTATCTCTATACATATATAAACTATAAATAGTTTGTGGGTTTCTTGAAAAGGAAACAGAAGAAATAAAACTAGCTGAATTGCCCTTGGTATAAGAAAATGGAAACTGTGCAATATATCTAACCTCTAAATTAAATGTACTATCTCGTACAATTTGCAATTTGTACAAATGAGGAGAGTTAGAAACATTATCTATTGTGTAATTTGAAAAACAAAAATCTTTAATACATTTTTTATCCATATTTATAATGGAAAAATTTCCAAAATTTATTGCTTTTAAAAAATAATGGTTAGAAAAATGTATATTTAATTTTAATTATTCTACATATATTAATTAACTATTACCCTGATAACTAAATATAGTGTTTGGCTGCAGACCAGTTCTCTGACCATTTTTATTAACAGATATTTCAATAACATTTAATACCAAATCATCCATACCCATAAATGTATCGCATAAATAGTTAATATCACCCACTCTACCCGAAACTGGTAATGGTGAATCGAAGTAATAACCATAAGATTTTTCGTAAACTGTAAAATATGGATTTAAAACTTTATTTGGATTTGTATATTTAAAACCAATGATTGGAGTTGAAAAAAACCCAATATTATTACTTGGTGAAAAATTTGGATATTGTGTAACTGAAGAAACAAAGTTATCGTTGTAATCTATTATTTATTTAAAAGTTATTATAAATGAATGAAAGAAAATATAAAAAGTGAAAAAATTTTTATATTAGTAATTTAAAATTTTTTTTTAAAGTATAATAATTTTTTTTAAATTACCTTTAAAGGGGTTATTAACTTTCAATAAAAGATATCCCATTGAATTGCCAGAAGAATTGAAAAAACTTAAATAAACATTCCATTTATTGGTAGATGCATCATAATCTAATGGTGGTTTAGTTAATACCAAAGAAAATATGCTGTCATCAACCTTTCTTAATGCTGTGTTATGTGTCAGTTGATCCTCGGAGTAAGTTATTTCATTTAAAGTTGGATAATCAATTCCATTGATTTGCCACAATGACTCAAAATATTGATAAAGAGGTTTGAAATCTTGTAACAATGAAATTTCTAATTGATTAAAATTTATATCTGGAAAATAAAAATAAAATTAAAATTTGAAGAAAAATACAAAAAATAAAAATAATTGTAAATATATATTACCTTTACAAACCAATTTGATTGTGAAATCAAACATATTTGAATCTTCTCTTGCGACATTTAAATTGATAGTTATTTCTTTTTCTGTAACGATTTGAAAAATTGGATTAAATAAAGTGTGAGTTTGATTAAAAGAGGATGGATAAACATTGGCGATATCCGAATAATTATTTGATGACATTCTCAAGTATTGATATGTTGAGAAATCCTCAATTAAAATTTGAAGATCATAATCACAATAATTATCTTTTGAAACACTTGGAACCTTTCTTAACTCTTCTTCATTTAATATTATATATGATTGGCAACTGACCAATGAAACATTAAATATAAAAATAAAAAATAATAATAAAAATAAAAAAATTTTGTGCATGTTGTTAATATAAAAAATGAAAGAAAAAATAAAAAAATAAAAAAATATAACAAATAATTTTATAAAAAAAAAAATGGAGTGATTTTTATTTTAAAATATCTTTTTAAAGAGAATCAAGTTTCATTCATTGAAAGATTTTTTTTAAAAAAAAAATTTTAAATAAATAAAAATCAAAAAAAAATATTTTTAGATTTGATTAGATTTTTTGGATTATTTTAAATTATTTTTATTTAAATTTTAATATTACAATTTTATTATTATTATTTATTCGTAAAATATTTTTTTTAATTTAAAAATACAATTTAAAAAGAAAAAAAAAAATTAAATAATGTACCATTAAGGATATTGTAACATTAAATTATATATAAATAAAAATAATATATACAATTTTACCCCTTTTCATTTTTTTTTTTTTTTAATATGCATATACCCTGCTGTGCTTTCTTGAATCACTGCAACTACTATTATTATTTTCGTTATTGTTATTCTGATGTGTTATATCATTTTCATTAATTCTTTGGATTGAGTTAATTATTTCTTGTTGTTGTTGGTGTTGAATTCTAAGTTGTTGAATCTCTTGTCTCATTAAATATAATTGAAAGTCACTTTTATTTCTAAAGTGGTGTGGGTGGGTTATATTTCCACTAATTGATGAACAAAACATTCCTGAAAACTCAACCTTGTCGTGTAGTCTTAAAACATGGAGATGTAAGACCTCTTCTTGATTACTTGATTCGTCCACAGAATTGCTATTTAAATAATGATTGTTGTGAACACTATTAAAATAAATATTACTATTATTATTATTACAATTTTGGTTTTGATTGAATTGATAGTATTTTTGATGATGATTAAAAAGTTGGTTATGATTTCCATTACTTGTAGTTATTATATTATTATTTTGATTTTGTTGATTTTGCTTTTCAAAGCATGATAAAGTATATAAAAATGACCAACCACTATCACCACCAGTTAATTTAAATTTCAGTGTGTTGCCATCAAAGCTTTGAAACTCGGCTTCAAATTTATTCTTTGTGTATTCAACCATAAATTGTTCACCATTGAATGAAATTTTAGTTGAGTTTAATACATCGACATCACACCATTTTTCACTCCACACACCAATAAACTTTGATGCTGATTTGGTTAATCTACTTTCGTTAATATATACTCGTTTGGCATTTTGTGATTCTAATATTCTTGGATAGTGATTCATTTGGAAATGAAAACAAAAATTGAATTTTAAAATTGGGTAAAATCCTCTCCATATCCAATCATCGTCAGCCAATTGTTTGAAATCTCTGCATACCAATCCTAATGTACATAATTCGCTTGGGTTTAAAAATGACAAAATTTGTAATAATACATCGTATGGTAATTCTTCTAAAATTGTGAAATTTCTTTTTTTATTAAAACCTAAAAATTAAAAAAAAAAAAAAATGAAAAAAATTAATATTTTTTTAAAATTGGTATAAACACACTTTTTAAACTAAAGTGAAAAGAGTTAATATTTACTATTATAACTATATAAAATATCCATTTTTTAAATTATTTAAAATATATATTTTATTTTTAAAATTTTATTTTGCTTTGTTTAAATAAATTTATCTTTTTTTTTTTTTTTTTTTTAAAATGTTATTTATATAAAAAATTTTAAAAATAAAAATAATTATATTTTAAAAATCTATCTATTTTTTTCTTTTGTTTATTTTTTTTTTTTGAATGTGTGTTATTTGTGAGTGTTTATTTGTTTGTTTTTTTTTTTGAGTGAGTGAGCGGTGTGAGAAAAAAAAAAAAAAAAGAAAGAGTGCACGCAATATATTTTTGTGTGTCTATATGTTTTTTTGAGAGGTTCTATATGTGTGAATAACAACCAGTAGTAGTTATTGTTATTTAATATTTTGTGTGTTGGAGTGTCTCTATATTTGTTTTGAGTATTTGTTTGATTTTATAAATTAATTATGTCTTTAATATATTGTTTGTTAGAGGGAAATATTGTATGGATAAGAGAGTTAAAAATGTTTATTTGTGTGGTGTGTGTTGTTTTTGTGGGTAGTGATAAAATAATTTTATAATTTTTTTTTTTTTTTATTTTCCATTTTTTTTTTTCTGGGTTTTTAATATTATTATATGAAAAGGTACCGTTTAAGGGAGGGTTAATAAAATAACCTAATAATAAAAATAATAATAATAAAGTTTAATTTTTTGATAGATTTGAAAAAAAAAAAAATTTGTTCTTTTTTAAAAATTTTAATTTCTTCTTTTTTTTTTTTTTGTTAAATCATAGAATAAATTATTATTACTACTATTATTTATTATTAAAAATTAAAATATATTCCAAATAATATTATAATGAAACCAAAAAAAATAAAAAAAATTGTATTTAAAAAAAAAATAAAAAAAAATAAAAAAAAATAAAAAAAAAATAAAAAAAAACCAACTAAACTTACTTTTAAAATAATTTTAAACAACAACTCGACTTTTTTAAAGATAATTTTCATTTTGGAAACTCAACGATACATAATTTTGTTTTAAAAGAATGAAAATAACGATTTTTGATACACATACAACTTTGACTTTTTAAAAAAAAATAATAAAAAAATAAAAAAATGTCTATTTTTCAAATAAAAAAACAATTATTACAATCCCATTTGCCATTTTTTTTTCCTTTTAATGTTTAATTTATTACACACGCGCGCTCACACTCCCTTTCGGTCGTTTAATAATTTTTTTTAAAACAATCTAAAACACCTGGGCAAACTATACCGTATTTAGTTTAATTACTTTTTTATTTATTTGTTTATTTTTGTTAAAGAATAATAAATCTTTTTTTATAAATCTTATAAAAAAACAAAGTATATTAAAAAATGTTATAATCATTCTATTTTAAAATTCTCTCTATAATAGTCAAATGAATTACTACATATTTTCTAAAAATGGATATCTAATAACTATTTAAATATTTTTATTATTTATTTGAATAAAAATATAATAAAATAATAATTATAAAAACAATATTTTATTTTTATTATTTTTTTTATTTTTTAATTATTTTTTTTTATTATTTTTTTTTAAATTTATTTATTTATTTTTTTAATTTTTTTTTAATTTTTTTTTAAAATTTATTTATTTATAAATAGATCTATTCAATGTTTTTTCATTAAAAGATAAATAATTAAAATAGGGAAATATCTTTTCTAATAGATGTAAACACTATATACATTTAAATACATTATATATAAATAATAACATACAATACAATATTTATATAGATTTATAAATTAAATATTTAATTTATAATAATGATTAATAATAGAATATAATGCCAAAAGAATCAAAATTAACAATACTAGAAATATCAAAAGATGTTTTACAAACTGAAAAAAAATCATTGATATTAAAAATTTCCAAAGTAAGTATAACAATAATATCTTTTAAATTATAAATGAACATACATACTAATAATTTACATTCTTCCTTTTTCTTAAAGCAAATAGAATTAATAAATTTAGATATAGAACAAATAAACAACAATATCAAGGAATTACTAGAAAATGACTCATGCATCCAAAACTATTTAATAGAAAATAAAATAAACATAAATGACTATAACTAAATAAATAAAGACAAAAACAATAAAAACCACATTGGTTTTATATTTTTTTTTTGTTAAATATACTCTTTGTTTTCTTAAAAAGATTTTATTTTTTTAATTATGATGATAAATATTTTATTGTTTATTATTATTAGGTTTTTTTTTTTTATATTATAAATCGATAGTTTTTTACCAACCTCCTCTGTTCATATTATTTTGCATGCCACCTTGGTTCATGCCCATACCACCTTGGTTCATTCCCATTTGATTCATACCCATACCACCTTGGTTCATGCCCATATTACCTTGGTTCATGCCCATATTACCTTGGTTCATTCCCATATTACCTTGGTTCATGCCCATATTACCTTGGTTCATACCCATTTGGTTCATGCCACCTTGGTTCATTCCCATTTGGTTCATGCCCATTCCACCTTGGTTCATCATACCTTGATTCATGCCCATGCCACCTTGGTTCATGCCCATATTACCTTGCATGCCACCTTGGTTCATAGCCATATTATTGTTATTTTGCATTGGTCTCATGGTTGGAATAGTTGAACCTGCTGATGTAATTGGTCCATTAACTGAACGAGCTGGTTGTGAACGAGATTTACCTGAACTATTGACATTATTATTAATTGGTGATTGATTTGAATTACCAGTTCCAAGATTTGATAAATCAAATAAATCTTTTTTGCTCCATGGATCACTGTCTTTTGGTTTTTGTTGTTGTTGGCTGAAATCACCTGATGGTTGTTCGAATGGGTTAAAATCAGCATTATTATTATTGCTATTGCTGGCTGTTGCAAAATCGCCAAATTCGTCTTTAGCAAATGGATCTTTATTATTTGAACTTTGGAATTGTCCAAATTGTTGAGCTTGTTGTGGTTGATTATTAAAGAATCCTCCATTTTGTTGTTGTTGTTGTTGTTGTTGTTGCTGTTGTTGTGGGTTTGAAGATGTAAGTTGAAGGAATGTGCTTTGTTGTTGAGTTGGTTGTTGGTTAAAGTTAAATCCTAATCCAACAAGATTAGCATTATTGTTACTGCTACCTTGGAATCCACCATTATTATTATTATTACTATTATTATTATTATTACTGTTCATTCCATTACCAAGTTCTGCTAATGGATCGAATACCATATTTTTATTAGCTGGAGCTGGTTCTGAAAAATCGATTAAACTTGGTTGCTGATGATTTTGTTGGTTCGATTGTTGTGATTGGAAATCTGGTGTAACTGGGGATGGTCCTAAATTACCACCACTGGCAGCTCTTGGTCTACCTCTTGATGATGTATTTTGATTTATATTATTATTAGTTTGTTGATATTCTTGTTCTAAAAATTATTAAAAAAAAAAAATATATACATTAATATACTTTAATTACTACTATTTAATAATAATGTTATATTATTAAAGTTACCTTGTTGTCTATTATTTCCATTGCCATAACCACCACCATTATCGAAATCACCATATGATGAATCTTGGTGACCACCATATGTATCTCTGCTACTGCCATAATCATCTCTACCACTATATGATTGATCTCTATTGTTACCATATGAATCGTCTCTACCATTGAATGAACCTCTTCTGGCATATGATTGATCTCTGTTTCCACCGTATGAGTCTCTGTTACCACCATATGATTGATCTCTATTACCGCCATATGATTGATCTCTATTACCACCACCACCACCATATGAATCTCTATTACCGCCATATGAGTCACCACGGCTATATGGATCAGAATCATATCCGTAACCACCGCCACCACCACCACCATAACCAAAGTCTCTACTATCATTACCAATACCAACATATTTATTTTGATTACTTTTAGCCTTTTCTCTTTCCTCTTTAATTCTTTGATCATCTTGTAATAAATCAATAACTTGTTTTGCTCTTTCACGAACTAAATAATTATGTGATAAATAAATAAAAAAGTTAGTTTAAAACGATCATAATTAATCCTCTGAAACTATTTGATAATACATACCACTTAAACCAACATCTTTCTCCTCTTCAATATATTGGAACTCAACTAAAGTTTTAATCTCCATAGTGTGATGTCTACAATCTCTAATTACTTGTGGTGAACCATTTCTAACTAAATAATCGATAAGAAGAAGGGATTTGTAAACATGTCTCCAATATTTACCTGGATCGTTGATTCTCTTCCAAATTACGCCCATGATTATTGGGAAACATTCACTATTAAACATAATTAAAAATGTCAGTAAATATAAATTGATTTTATTATTAAATGATATATTGATGTTTTTTGTTTACATACTAATTATATGAAGCTCTTGAAATCTCTAACATTTGAGTGCCTGATGGACCCCATTTATCATTTGATGTTGCATCTCTAACCTTTCTTTCAATTTCTGGTGTATTTAATACTGCATCCTTGCTAAAATATATTGAAAAAAATAAAAAACGAAAAATAATGAATATAAACTCAGTAACCACATTCCATTCTAAAAATAAAAACCTACCCTTTTTTAATATAACTTTTAATCATTGTCTCCATTTTTATTTTCTTTTCTGTATGTAGGATTTAAATAAATATATTATTACAATTGGGAAAAAAAAAATAAAACTAAATATAAAAAGTTATGATACCTGTATTTTAAAAAAAATAATACAGAAAAAAAACACTTTATGTTTTTATTATTTAATGAGCGGGTGTTAAGTAAAAATAATAAAAAAAGTGTGTGTGGATGTGTGGCCCATAATGAAAATTATTATAATAATATTTTTATAAAAAATTCTACTATTAATTTTCTATATCTTTTTAAGGGGGTGTTAGAGAGTGGGTTTTTTAATATATTTTTAAATTTTTAAATTCCAAAAAAAAAATAGATTTTTGAAAAAAAATTTAAAATAATGTAAATAAAAAAATTAAAAATAAAAAAATAAATTGAAAAAAAAAAAAAAAAAAAAAAAAAAAAGAAAAAAAATTTAAATTTTTTTAATTTATATTCAAAAAAAAATAAATTGAAAAAAAAAAAAATGAAAAAATTATAATAAAAATTTTTTTATTAAAATAATAAAATTAAAATATCAAAGAACCCAAACCATTTCAATTAAAAAAAATAAATTAATAATTAAATAAACAAATAAGTATATCATAAAAACAAATAAACTTATGACCAAAACAATCAAATAAATAAAACAAAACAAAACAAAACAATCAAATAAATAAAAAAAGATAATAAATTGATAATTTTTAAAAAAATAAAAAAAACTCAAAATAAGCACCTTATAAGGTGGCCACGTCGGCCCAATTTTTTAATTTCTTTTTTTTCTAAATTTCTTTATTTCAAAATAAGTTTATGGATCGATAATGGATTTAAGACAAATACTATAATATGCATTATAAAATGTGTATTTATATTTTAATTATTTATATTAAATTATAATAAAATTGTTTGATCAAATTAAATTAACAATCAATGTGGTGTTATTTTCATAATTATTTTTTAAAATTATTTTTTTTTTTCAATTTTTTCAAATTTTTCAAAAAAAAATTTTATTTTTTTTTTTTTTTAATTTTTTTCGTTTTTTTTTTTTTTTATTTTTTTTATTTATTTTCTCACACATACCTATAAATACATTAATTATAGAAAATTAAAATTTAGGGAAAGAGTTTACCAATTTTTAATTCTTCATTTAATAATTACTATATTATCATTGTTAATAAAATAATAATTGTATTGGAAAAAAAAACAAAACTATAGATTCAAAAAAATCATAACAATTTATCAAAAATATCAAAACAACAGAACATTAATTATATATATATAAACACAGAGAAATAAAAAAAGAAAATGGAAGACCCAGTTAGATTAACTCAAATTCGTAAAACTGTAATTCAAATGTTATCAGATCGTGGATATATTACAAGTGCAATTGATGCAGAAGTACCAAGAGATATTACAAATCGTGATGAATTAAAAATTTATTGTGTTAAAAAGGATGATCCAACTGAAAGTGTTTATGTATTTTTCCCAGAAGTACCAAAGGTTGGTGTAACCCATATCAAAAAATATGTTGAACTTATGAAATCACGTCAAACAAACAGAGCTATCATTGTTGTTCAACAAAACATCACTCCATTCGCTAAACAAGCTTTAGTTGAAATCTCTCAAGATAAAAAAATTGTACTTGAACAATTCAATGAAGCCGAACTCTTAGTAAACATCACCCATCATCAATTAGTACCAAAACATATTTTATTAACCAAAGAAGAGAAATTAGAATTATTAACAAGATAGTAAGTAGTAGTATTATAATAATTTTTATTTTTAGTTTTAAAACTAATTTTTCTTTCTTTTTTAATTTAAATTATAATTTTAATTTATCACAATTTAATTATCTCTTATAAAACATTATAATAATCATCGATGATAAATTATTATCAATTAAATAATATTACAAAAAATAATAATAATAATAATAATAATATTATAGCAAAATGAAAGAAAGTCAATTACCACGTATTCAATTAAATGATCCAATTGCCAGATATTTTGGTTTAGCTAGAGGCAATGTTGTTAAAATCGTCAGACCATCAGAAACTGCTGGTAGATATATCACTTATAGGTATGCTTTTTTTATTTTTTTTTAAATTCAAATATGATATCATTTTACTAATTTATAATATTGTTTTATTTTTAGACTTTGTGTATAATTTTTAATATTGATAATAAAAAAAGAAAGAAATAAATAACAAAAAAAAAAAAAAAAAAAAGGTAATAAAAAAAATAAAAAACTAATTGAAAAAAAAAAAAAAAGATAAATTTTTTATTATTGTTGTTAAATTATATTGTTTAATATATATTTTTTTATGACATAAGGCATATGATATGTATATGGATGAATAGTAAAAATTAATAATAACGTCATATTATGTTTTCTGTGTTTTGGGTGGTATTGTTAACTTTGATATCTTAACTGACAACAATAATATATCTAAAATATTAATATTAAAATTAAAATTAATTTTATTAAATATTAAATGGTAATAAATAATATTAATTTTAATAATAATAATAATTTGTGTGTTTTGTGTTTTATGTTTGATTTTCTAAATTTATTTTTGTGTGCGTTTTGAGTTATTTTAATTATTGTTCCCAAGATTCGATATAAGTTAGATATATAAATTAAATCTAATTTTGGTATCTCGACACCTCTTCACTCAATTTCTTTTCTTTTTTTTCTTTTTTTTCACAAACACATAGGCATATTATCAGTATTTTTTTAATATTTATATTTTTTTAATACAAAATGTTAATTCGTACACACACACCAAACATAACATCAAACAACCTCAAATAAACACACACACACACACATAATATATAAAAAAAAAAATAACACATATAAAACACACATTCTATCTTTAACTCTTAAAAACACACGTTCACTTTTTTTTTTTTTTTTTTTTAATTTTATTTTGTTTTATATTTTATTTTATTTTAAAAATAATCTATTTTCTTTTTTTCTTTCTTTTTTTTTATTTTTATTTTTTTTACTTTTATTTATATATTTTTATATATTTCAACAAATTTTATTTGTTTTTTTTACACGCGTATAAAAAAGGAACTAATTTTAGGTTATCCAATAATATTAATAAAAAAATAATTTAAAAAAAATAAAATTTTATTGTAAAGCCACCTAAAAGCCAATTTTTTTTTTTTTTTTTTTTTTTTTTTTTTCCCTCCAAAAGAAAAAAATAAAAAAAAACCTTCTTATCTCCAACTACATTTTAATCGTTTATTTGAATAAAAACAATTTAAATCAAATAATTTCGTTGGTTTATTGCATTCAAAAAAAAAAAACTAAAAGAAAAAAAAAAAAAAAAAATAAAAAAAAAAAAAAAATAAAATTTTTTAGTTTAGAGGAAATAAAAAAATCATTTTTTTATTTTTTATTTTTTTATCTTAAAAAAAAAAAAAAAATAGATATAATAATAAATAATAAATCAAAATATAATTAAAAATCAAAATTCAAATTGTAACAAAATCAACATAAAATCAATATACCATCAAAAACAAATCAAAATAATTAATGATAAATTGTAACTTTTTTTTTTATTAAATTAATATAAAAAAAAAACAATTTAATATAATGGTAAGGTTTTTTTTTATTAATTTTTATAATATGTCGCACAAGTTATTAAATTGCCAATTTATATTTTAAAAGTATCAAAATACAGATTTAGTTAAATCAACTATTGATTGGAGGGTTGAAAAAGGTACAGAAGAAAAATCAACATCACCATTATTATTTGGACAACCAAGCGGTCAAACAGAGAGTTTAGATATTGCAGTTGAAAATCCAGAAGAGTGTGTATTATGGTATTATAATTATTTTTTAGGTAAAAGCCATCAGAATTATTTAGGTGTTTTAGATAACGGAGATGTGTTTGGCGCATCAATTATCAAAGAAGATTATAATGTAGAGGGCGAATACTCTTATAAAACAATTATATGGACAATAGAGGGTATCGAAAGACAATGGTTTCAAGTTAAACAAAAGCAATCATTAACACCAACCGAAATTATAAAGAAGGCCTTACCAAGATTGTCAATTAAAAAAATAAAAGAAATTGATTCTGTAGATTTATTAAAAGATTTTAAAGATTTAGAAGCGACCCAAACTGAAATTTTCTATAAATTTGGAATATTATTAGCACGTCCAGGTCAATCAACCGAAGATGAATTTTATAATAATAGTTTGTAATCAAAATTTAATAGTATGTGTATAATTATTATTGTATTCTAATATACGCTTTTTTCATATATTATAATAACAGATGAATATTCACCTCGATGGACAGAGTTTTTAAATTTATTAGGTGATACAGTAGTTTTAAATTCATTCAAGGGTTATAGGGGTGGATTGGATGTAAATAGCAATACTACAGGAACACATTCATTATATACAAGTTTAAATGGTTATGAAGTTATGTTTCATGTTTCAACAATGTTACCCCATTCAAAAGCAGATTCACAACAAATTGAAAGAAAAAGACATCTTGGAAATGATATTGTAATTATTATATTTTATGACTGTGATCCATCTGACCCAATTATACCATGGGACCCATCAAAAATTAACTCAAATTTTAATCGTATGTGTATAGTTTTCTATATTTTTAGCAGAATTTTAAATATTAATTTTTTTTTTTTCCCTTTAAATTAATCTTTATTTTTAGATATATTTGCAATTGTTAGACCAGTTGATGATAATCATTATCATGTAGAAATTGTAATTAAAAATGGTATTGCAAAGTTTGGACCAAAACTCCCAACTCATTCAATTTTTCCAAAGTGTCAAAATTTTAAAGAGTTTTTAATCACAAAATGTAATATTTTTTAATATTTATCTGTGGGATGGCATCACAATTTTTATTATTTTATATAAAATCAAATAAATTAATATGTTTTTTTTTTCATAACAATTATAGTGGTAAATGGTCAAAGAGCAGCTTTAAATTCAGCACCATCATTTGCAAGCAAATTAAAAAGAACATTTAAGGATCAATTAGAAAGTATTTGTAAAAAATATTCATTAAGTTCATCATCAACTATATCATCATTTGTACCTAAAAGAAGATCATCATCAGTATCAAATGTTAATAAGGGTAAGGAGTTGAAAGCAAAGGACCCAAAGTATGGATCAGGTTTTTTCAAATTAAAGGAATCATCCAAGAGTCAAATTTTCGATACTGAAATTTTATTTTCAAAATCATTAAATGAAAGAATTAATTGTTTAGATGTTTTAGAGTCTGATGAAAACAATTGTACATTAATCGTTGCAACTGACGAATCAATTTATTTATTAAAAACAAATATATCGACAGGTGAACAGTTATTCCAAAAAGTTATAAATATAAAAGATGTTACTCGTGTTACTATTATCAAACCATTGAATGTACTTTTAGTTTTAACATCAAAGGGTTTAGTTTTTTATGAAATGGAACAAATTTTTCAACATTTTAAAAATTCATCATCAAACAGCAGCGTACCAACAACTCATAGTATTCCAATACCAACTAATCATTTAAATCATCAACAACAACAACAACAACAAAATAGTAGTTATGGTAATTCACCAGGCTATTATAACAACTCACCCAATGCCTATGGATCGCTAAGATGGTCAAAATCAGGCATTATCGCGGCAAATATTATAAATAATAATCAAAATTCACAAAATTTCAATAATGGTATTACAGAAGAACAAATCAATTCAATAAAAATGAAAAAAATTTTGGGTACTAAAGGTTGCACTGTTTATGGCTATACTAAAGGTGACAGCAATAGCTCAGAAGAGGACATTACATTGTTGTATGTAGGCCTAAAGAAAACATTAATACTCTACGAATGGAATAGGGGTGACTTTGTAAAAACTAAAGAATTGGTAGTCTCTGATAACATTAAAACTTTATGTGCTATTGCTCCCGGTATGATTTGTGTTGGTATTGCAAAGGAATTTCTTTTAATCGATATTTTCACCCAGACCATAAAAGAACTCTACAAGAAAGCAGATTCTGAACCCGTTAAAGCTTTATCTTTAGATAGCGAAATTCTTTTGTGCTTTAATAATATTGGTATTTTCGTTGATGAGTCTGGTGTAAAAACCAGATCATTCGAATTGAAATGGGGTTCAACTCCATCATCTTTAGCTTTAGTCCCAGCATATGTCCTAGGTATCTCTGGTCCATTAATTGAAGTTAGAACCTTATTAAATGGTAATATCATTCAATCATTACCAGCAAATATTTCATTAGATGACAATAATTGTATTATAGAAGATAATAATAATATTAATAATAATAATATTAATAATAATAGTAATAATAATAGCAGTAATAGTATAAATAGTGGTAATAATTTAGAATTAGAAAATAGTTTTAATAATATCACAATTACAAACAATAGTAATCATAATTTAAATAATAATAATTGTATTAATAATAATAATAATAATAATAATAGTAGTAATAATATAAATATTCATAATAGTAGTGGTAGTATTACTAGTGTTACCAGTATTGATAGTAATGATCACCAAAATGAAGGTAATAATAATAATAGCGGCATTGAAAATGTTTATTCATTTTCAACATTTAATGATATTGCCCACGTTGACAATGGAAATATTTATGTTGCATCATCAAGTAAAGGGTTATCTTGTATTCTTCGTATTCATAATATCCAAAACTCTTTAGCCCCAATAACTCCTTTTTCGCCCCCAAATTCTCCATTAAAACCAAATTTTTTGAAAAACTAAAAAATAAAATATCATTATTTAATTATATATCTTAATAAAAAAAAAAAAAAAAAAAAAAGTAAAAAAAAATAAAATAAAAAAAGCAATTAGGATTGTAAATAAAAAAAAAAAATATATCTATTTATATTATAAACTTTATTTCTATAAAATTGTATATTTTATTGATATGGTGTTTGAAGAATTGTGTGAGTATTTATTTTAATCTCATTTCTTTACATTTGTGTTCATATGGGTCGTAGAAACAGAGGTTGGAAAAGCTACATTTTAATGCGCTCTGTAAAATAGAAATAATAATAAAAATTAATAATAATTCTAAAAAAAATAAAGTTTTTTCTGTTTTCTGTTTTCTGTTTTATATGATGGTATTATGGATATTTTATAAATAAAGATTACTTACTAAAGTTCTGCACCATTTATCGACTTGGCTGTTTTTTAAGGTTGGTTCAGTGTCAATTGCATTAACATTTGAAACTAAAGCAAATGCTAAAGCAAAGATAAATAATAATTTAATAATTGAATTCATTTTTATGAATGATGGAGATGGATGGAATTGAAAAAAATTGGATGCAAAGTTTTTTTTTTTTTTTATAAAACTTTTTAAATTTTATAAAAAAAAAATAAAAAAAAATAAAATAATATTCAAAATAATAAAAGTTTTATTTTTTTTTTTTTTTAAAAATATTGTGTTGTTTTTGGGCTTTTTGGGCTTTTTGGTACCCTGGTTTTTTTTTTTTTGGGTGGGTTATTTGAAAATATCCTATAATAAAACAATTAAAAAAGATAGGAATATAAAAAAAAAAGATAAAAAGAAAACAAAATGAAAATAAACAACAAACCCATATTGTTTTCTATTTTATTTATTATTATTATTTATATATTTATTATTTATTCCATCCTAGTTAAAGCTAGTTTTCTAATAGTATTTAAATTGATTGCCCTATTCCTATTAAGGACACACAGTTTACTTAATATATACACAACAGGGACCAAAAAAATTGATGATAACAAAAAAGAAAAAAATATTAAAAATATCATTATTAATTTAAAAAGAAAAAGAGTTGATATTATTGATTTTATTTTTGAAAATATATATATTATTATTTATTTATTTATTTATTTGAGTTTAGGATAATAAAAAAAGATGAAAGATGTGTTTTTATTTTTTTTGTTATTGTGTGTTTTTGTTGATGTACAAATTTTATTTTAAAAAAAGCAAATATTTAAATATCTAATTTTTTTTAAAAAAAAAATATTTTAAAATTATTTTAAAAATACAACATAAATATATATATATATATATATTTTATAAATATTACTTTTACAAAATTATTATTTATTAAATTATTAACCCCATATATTTTTTTTCTTGCACTATTGTTTAAATTAAAAAAAAAAAAAAAAAAAATGGGGTTAAAAAAAAAAAAAAAAAATATAACTTAAATAAAATAAAATTAAATAAAATATAAACAAGGTTGTAGTTATATTCACACACACTCAAACACACACACACACACAAAAATTAAAATTCAGTAGCAAGATTTATAATTATGTTAGGTAATAATAATTATATTTTATTAAAGTACATATAATGTTCCCATCACACATGCAAATAAAAATTATATTATATATTATATATTTCAAACAAATATATAATAAAAAATTCATAAAGACATAATTGATAGATTTTAAAGATGTAATATCCATATATAGCTAAGATCTGCATTAGGTATTAGTTTAATAATGAAATTAAACAATTAACATTAAATTAATTAAAAAAAAATAACAATAAATAAAGATAAATATAGATTTTTTTAATTGTAATTTAAATTATTATCTATTATTATTTTTTTTTTCAATTTATAAAGAAAAAAAATAAAACTATTATATATCTTTTTTTTATTTTTTTTTATTTTTTTTATATATTATTTACTAAATTAATCACTGTCGTTTCTATTCCTATTTCTTGGTGGTGATCTTGATCTGCTCGATGATGGTGATCTATTTCTATTTCTTGGTGGTGATCTTGATGGAGACTTATCTCTATTATTTTTATTTCTTGGTGGTGATCTGTCGGATTCATCATCTGAAATTCTCTTTGATGGGGGTGATTTTGATCTTGAGTTGTTTCTATTTTTGTTTCTTGGTGGTGATTGTGAGGGTGAGTGTGAGGGTGATCTATCTCTATTTCTATTTCTTGGTGGTGATCTTGAGGGTGATCTATTTCTATTTTTTTTTGGTGAAGGTGAAGGTGAAGGTGATCTTGATATTGATCTATCTCTATTACTTTTATTTCTTGGTGGTGATTGAGAGGGCGATGGAGATCTGCTTCTTTTAGCTCTTTGTGGACTATCATCTCTACGGTCAGTATCAAACTCTTGTCTCTTTCTTTGTGGTGAGTTGTTTTCTCTTGATGGTGATCTGTTTCTTTTATTGTTACTATGGGTTTCTTCACGTGTCACCGAAGGTGATCTGTTATTTCTATAGGTTTTTCTTGAGTCTGGTGAGGATGATGGTGATCTTGAGTCTGATCTGCTTCTTCTTCTTTTATCTTTCTTTTTGTAGTCTCTGTCTCTGCTTCTACTTCTGCTTCTGCTTCTATCTCTATTTCTTCCATAAGTGTCTCTGTCTCTTTCTCTTTCTCTTTCTCTCTCTCTTTCTCTTTCCCTTTCTCTTTCTCTTCTTTTTTCTTTTTCTAATTTTTCCATTTCTTTTGCTCTTCTTTCTCTTTCTTTTTGTCTTTGTAAATACTCTTGATGTCTTCTTTCTTTTTTTTCTTGTTGAACTTTTTTATCTAATGAAGTGCCAGGTATATAGTCTTTAAGTTTTAATGCATCTGTAAATCTTTGAATTTCCTTTTCTTTATTATACTGTCTTTCATGGAAACCTTTATTTCTATTTTGGGTATCATCTTCATCTTGTTCAGGTTTTTTGTCTTGCTGTTCTTTTATTAATTCTTCTCTCTTTTTTGATAACAATGATTCTAATTCTTCATCCTTGTATTTTTCATACAAGTCATTTTCTTCAGCCCATTGTGCAACTAATACTTCAATTTTTCTTTTTTTATTATGTTCAATAATATCTTGATTTGCTTTTTTAGTTGGTTGTCTAGATTGCTTCATTTGTTGCTCTAACATACTCTCTCTTTCTTTGCTCATTGAATAATCCGTTTTAACATGATTTGTATTTACAAATGATAAATTTCTTTGCACATATCCATTTGTTCCAGAACCACGTGCAGTTTTTAAACCAATACCATTGTATGACATTATTTATTTAATTTATTAAATTATATATTTTAATATGTATACATATAAATATATTATATTTGTTAATTTAATTATTTAAATGTAAATTTATTTATATCTAATTATTAAAAAAATTATTTTAATTTGCGAATTTTTAAAAATGAAAAAAATAATTAATAAAAAAATTAAAAAAAAAATTAAAAAAAAAAAATATTTTTTTTTATTTTTAAAAAAAATTTTTTAATTTTTTTTTAAAACGAATTAAATATTTTTAAAAAAAACGAAAAAAAAAAAGTCATTGTTTAATAGGGTAATAACATTAAAAAATGGCTGTTGCAAAAAAAAGATTATTAAATAATGAGGATAATGAAAAGCCATTAAAACAAATTAAAATCAATACTAAAATACAAGAAGAAGAAGAAGAAGATAATGTTCAATCAACAGAACAACATGATGATGATGATGAACACATTTCATTAGGAGAAGAGGATAATAGCGAAGAAATCGAAAGCGAAGAAGACCAAGAAATCGAAAGCGAACAAGAACAAGAGGAAGGTCAAGAGGAGGAACAAGAGGAAGAACAAAAGGAAGAAGAAGAACAAGATGAAGAGCCAGAAGATAAAAAATTATTAAATAAATTAAATAACGAACAAATTTTAGCAAATAGATTTATTTCAACTATGGCTGATTCATTTTCACAGGTTTTACAAAATAAAAAAACCCATATTGGTGCATTAAGAGGTTTATATTTTGAATCAATTAATCAAATTAAACACGAAACTATTAGAGAATTATTATTTAAACCAAGATCATGGCATATGTTTTATAAATTGTAAATATTCAATTAACCATCATAGTTTTTTAATAATAATTTTGTATTAATATTAAAACCATGTTTATATATAGAGTTAAAAAAAGTATTGGTGAAATTTCAAAATCAGAAGGTGATGAAGACGATATTAATATGAAAGAAGAATCAGATGATGATAACCAAGAAGAAAAAGAAAAAGCAGAGGTAGATGCATCAGATGAGGAGGATAATTTTACTGATCAAGTTTTCAAAAATTTATTAAGTTATAATATTATTGGTGGAAAAGAATCATTAATCACACAAATTAAAAAACAATGCGAAATGAACCATTTACACAAACAATCGATATCACTTTTATCACAGGAAGATAAATATTTCAAATATTGTAGAATCATTTTTCATAGATAAGATTACAGATGATCATAATAGTCTTTATGATTTGTTAGATAAATATATTATGTTTTCATTTACTTTAGATGATGTAAATATTGATTACTGTGTATAAATAACCAATATTTTATATTATACTAATTGGTTTTTTTTATATTTTTTTTATTATCAAATCTATAGATTTCAAATAGTTATTTAAATGTTTTAATTACAATTTTAAATTCAATTAAAGACGAAAATATTCCATTAGTTAATTTCGAAAAGATTTATAAATCATTAAGAAAGTTTTTATCAATTTCATCACCATTATTAAATAAAATTTTTAAAGAGAACACAACAAATAAATCATCAACATCAACATCAGACAATGAAATAGATCCAAACTTAATAAAGTTTTTAATTCAATTCTCTGGTTTATTATTTAAATTTTCATTATTATTAAATTCAAATTCAACTATAGATATGAAACAAAATTACGAATCAGACTATTCAATAGTTAAACTTTTATTAGGTAAATCAAATTATCTTGCAAAATTAGTTTCAATGATGACAAGCTTTGATTTTTCACAACCTCAGTTTTTACCAAAACAACAACAAAAAGATTCTTTTATTTCCTTATTTTTAAATCAATTTATTCAAGAATCAAAATTATCCTCACCACCATCAAACCCAGTTAGTTATTTAAAGTAAATATTAAATTAAATTTATTTTGCTAGTAATTATAAATATTAACTATAATATTAAATACTTTTTTTTTATAGGTCAAGAATTTTATGTGAAAGAGGTATTAATGTTTTAACAAAATTAAAAGATCCATTATTTACAAAATTAAAAATTTCATCAGCAACTTTACCAGTTCCAGAATCATTATTAAATTTTATTAAAGAAAATCCAACCCTTTTAGTTAAATCTCATAAAAACATGGATGATACTCAAGCTATTAGACAATTAAAATTAGACTCTCTATTAAATATTTTGGTTAAATATGAAGAATATTTAGAAAAGTTACAAAAAGAACAAAAAGAACAAGAAGAAGAAGGTGAAGATTATATCAAAGACCATTTCACTATCGATAAAGGTGGCAATAAAGATGAAGAGACTGAAGATAATGATGAAGCAGCCCAACAAGATTTAGACGATTCAATCATTGAAAATCAACCAAAGAGTCTATTAGACTTTTTAGATGAAGACGATTTAAACTCTGATTCAGATGAATAATAAAAAAGAAATAAAAAATAAAAAAATAAAAATATTAAATATAAATAAAAACTTTCTGAAAATTTATTGAAAAATTGAGCAATGTGGTCTAAGTTCCCCATTGGGTTTGAATATATAGTATTTTTTGTTTTAATCATTAGCTACGAATTTGTGTTATAAACATTCAATTTGAATAATCAGAGCAAAGGCTGACACTAATTTAATTAATTAATTTTGATTATTTAATTTTATTTATTAATCATTTTTGATAATTTAATTTTAGTTGAATTAATCATTTTTGTTTTAATAGATTTAATGAATTTTATTAAATTTAATTCATTTGATTACAAAATGAATTAAGATGTCATATTTATTCTGCTATTTTCACTAAATATCAATACTATTGATATTTTATTAATACGACTTTTTAGGAAGAGTTTTTTTTTTTTTTATAAATAATTATTTTCTGGGTACCAATTCCTTTTATAATAATTGGAATGATAAGTCAAAATAGAATGGGGCAAGGTTAACACGACTTTTAATAATTTACAATTAGATTTTTTAATTTTTTCCTTTCAGTCCCAAAAAAATCGCTTTAAGATATATTTTTCAAAAAAGCTCGATTAGCAAAGTTGGAATTGCGACAGCCTTCTAAGCTGTAGGTCCTGGGATCGAGACCCAGATTGAGCGAAAAAACTTTTAATGCAAACTCTGTGGTATTTGATGTTTTTTTTTTTTTTTTTTTTTTTTTTTTTTTTTTTTAAAAGATGTGATGGTTTTACTTTATAATCAAATCTTTACCAAATATTGATATTCCAAAATTTGTGGAAATTAATTGAGGCTCTAATTATAAAAGATTTAAAAAATTTGGAATGATTTTAATTGGAATATGATTATTTCCAAAGATTTTTTATATAGAACTTTTTTTTGAAAAAAATCTTTGTTTGGAATTTTTTATTTTTTTTTGTTTTTTAATTTTTTTTTGGGAATTTTTTTTTAATTAAAGTGTAATTATTATTTTTTTATATAAACAATGGAGGAGCTTCTATCATCTCTAATTAACTTTCAAGTAAATGAAGAGTTAAAACACAGTAGTAATATTAGTGATAGGTAAGTACAATACAATACAATACAATACAATACAATACAATACGACACAATAAATATAAATTTAAAAATAAATTTAAATAAAAATAAAAATAAAAATAAAAATAAAAATATAAATATAAATATAAATATAAATATAAATATAAATATAAATATAAATATAAATATAAATATAAATATAAATATAAATATAAATAAAAATATAAATAATCGATTAATTAAAAGCATATTAATTGGTGTTTTCTCTTTTTAACTATTTATTATAGATTATTATATATAGTTTGGAATAATATATTTTTAAGAAATGAAATTCATAAACATATTTTAAAGTTTATTGAATATAGTGTTGTAGATCTTGATATATCATGTTATGACCAGTTTAAAGATAAATCATATATAACAACACTAAAGTGGGGTGGTAACCTACTACCAGATGGAAATGAATTTCCACCTTTTTTGACAAATTTATATTTGAATCATTTTAATATGTTACCAACAACTTTTCCTAATACAATTACTACCCTCTCAATGGGTTATGATTTTAATCAAGTAATTCTACCCGGCACATTTCCAAATAGTCTCAAAACACTCACATTCGGTGATGAATTTGACCAAAAAGTTCCACAGGGGACATTACCAAATAGTCTCACAACACTCAAATTCGGTTATGGTTTTGACCAAGAAATTCTACCCGGCTCATTACCAAACAGTCTCACAACACTCACATTCGGCCATCGTTTTAATCAAGAGATTCTACCCGGCACATTACCAAAAAGTCTCACAACACTCACACTCGGTTATTATTTTAACCAAGTAGTTCTACCCAGCACAATACCAAATAGTCTCAAAACACTCACATTCAGTCATGCTTTTAACCAGAAAGTTTCACCCGGCTCATTACCAAATAGTCTCACAACACTCACTTTCGGTCATAATTTTGACCAAGAAGTTTCACCTGGCTCATTACCAAATAATCTTACAACACTCACATTCGGTGGTGGTTTTAACCAAGTAGTTCTACCTAGCACATTACCAAACAGTCTCAAAACACTCATATTCGGTCGTAGTTTTAACCAAGTAATTCTACCCGACACATTACCAAATAGTCTCAAAACACTCACATTCGGTTTTGGTTTTGACCAAGTAATTAAACCCAGCACATTACCGAATAGTCTCACAACACTCACATTCGGTTTTGGTTTTAACCAAGTTATCAAACCCAGCTCGTTACCAAATAGTCTCAAAACACTCACATTTGGTGATGGTTTTTACCAAGTAGTTCCACCTGGCACATTACCAGATAGTCTCACAACACTCACATTCGGTGATGGTTTTAACCGAGTAGTTTCACCCGGCACATTGCCAAATAGTCTTAAAACACTCACATTCGGTGATTATTTTAACCAAGTAGTTCTACCCGACACATTACCAAATAGTCTTAAAACACTCACATTTGGTAATGATTTTAACCAAATAGTTCTACCCGGCACATTACCAAATAGTCTTACAACACTCAAATTCGGTGGTTGTTTTGACCAAGTAGTTCCACCTGGGACATTTCCAAATAGTCTAACAACACTCACATTCGGGACTACAACAACTACTTTCCAACAAGACTAATAATAACAAACAAAAATAAATAAAAAAACTATTATAAAACTATATTTATTTAAATATAAAATAATTACCGAATGTGAGTATTGTGATACTGATTTAAGTGGTCCCGCTTATATGAACAAAAGAGAGCTTGGGCAATGGTACCAAGCCTTCAGCTGTATTAGCCGCAACAAGAGATGAGGTTAAGTTTTTCCTTGAATAACTTTCCAATACTGTTGATATTCCAGATGAACTTATTAACTCTTCAAATAAAGTTTTACCAATAGTATAACACTTCAGATTGACACCTAAAAGATCAAAGTCCATGGTGCTTGAACACCATTAGAAGCAATAATTTATAAAACCACCCACAAGGCAGTATTCAATCACATTTGTAAACAATATGATTAGTCAAGAAAAAACAACTATTGTACAGCCATATAAAAAAAAAAAAATAGAAATAAAATAAATTAAACAAAAAGAGTTTTTTAAAAAATAATTTTATTTAGCGCATTTTATTCGAACTTTTGAAAAATATTGTTAACGCATTTAACAATCAATTTCTCTATTTGTATATTTTGGGGCTTCACCTGGAACAAACTTTATATTATAATTAACTTCGGTATCTATATTATTGAATGATGGAATAACTTGGGATGTTTCTTCTTGTTTAGATTCATTTTCATTTTCAATAGCATTTGTTGAAGATTCGATGGTAATAATATTAGCATTTTCGCTTGGCTCTACAATGTAGTCACTAATACTATCTTCTTCATTAATAAATTGGTTTTTGTTATTATCATTAGTACCGATGTTGATTGTGTTGGTATTAGAAATGATTTCTTTGATTTCTTCATTTTTATTATTTAATGGGATGTGTGTTTCTTCTTTAATAAAGAATTTTGTTTCTCTACGATTTAAATTAATTTTATTTTTATTATTTAAATGGAGTTGTGAAATATTTAAAATTATAAAAGAAACAAATAAAATAATTAAAATTTTGATTAAAATAATTTTTTGAATTGATTTCATTTTTTTTTTTTTAATTAATTTTTTTAAAAAATATATAAATTATATATAACGCTTATTTGATTTTATTTATTGATTATATTGAAAATAAAAAATAAAACTTTGTGTTTAAATATTTTTTTTTGTGAGGAAAAAAAAAAAAAAAGTAAAAACAAAATTATTAATTTGTTAAATTATTAAAAAAGAAACTCTTTTAAAAAATAAATCACCCACACATCATTCCTAATAGGTGTATTCGAAATTGTTTTGGGTTTTATATTTTTAATTTCTTTAACGTAATTCCAAATTTGATTTAGGTTTAATAGGTATTTTATTTTTTTTAGAACGATTTGATGTGATGGGTTTTATCTCTATGTAAAAAAAAAAAATTTGTGTGGTTGTTTGATTTTATTATTATAATATTAAAAATTTAAATTTAGCCTCAATTTGTGGGTGTAGACGTGGTAATCATAAAAGTTGGGGGTAAAATGATATTATTATAATAAAAAAAAAAAATGCTTTAAAATTAGAAAATAATTATTATAAATGATTTTTAAAAAAAAAAAAATCACAAAATTAAACCATTAATAAATTGAGGTGATATATTTAGCTCCTCATTGTGATTATTAAAATAATTTAGAGATTGTATTCTCAACCTTAAATTTTTACGGATCCATGGAGAATAACCCAAAAAAAAATTTCCTATAACCACACCAAAAATAAAATCGACACGATCTCTTTTAATTTTGAAAAATAAAAGGAAAAATGAAAATTTTAATTTTACATATAAGAGTTAAAAATTCTATACTTTTTTATTTTATTTTTATTTTATTTTTTTTATTTAAATTAAATATAAACTAAATATTTAAATCATTGCTAATTTAAATAGCTTATTCTTCTTCTTCAGTACCTGATAAAATCTTTTCGTGTGAGTATGCGTTGAGAGTTACACCATCACCAATGTAGAACTTATTTTGGAACTCGACCCAATGAAGTCTTAAAGCGTGAAGGAAAGCTGAAAGGGATTCCATCATTAATAATACAGCAACAGAAGCACCTAACCAAGCACCAAAACCAACAAAAGCTAAAGCTGGGTTACCACCTTCAACTTGACCAATTAAAATTCTTTCCCAGAAAACAGATGATAACTCAGAGTGAGCTAATGAAAGAGCCCAAAGACGGAGATATGAGGCAGTATTTGAAACAGCACCAAGAACGAATTCAATAGTGTGAATAACTTGATGGACGAAAACTTCACCCATTTCGAATTCTTCACCGTGGTGACCAATGTAAAGAGCTTCATCGTCGTGTTCTTCTTCGTGGTGACCATTCTTCTTTCTTTCCATTTCATCATTGTGGAATTTCTTCATGAATAATGGTTTTGGAATTAACATAATTGGAATTGAAAGGAGAGATAAGAGTAAGAGGGCTGGTTGAAGTTTTGATTGACCTTCGAAGAATGAAACTGGAAGAGCACCACCTGGTTGTAAAAACATATCAATAATGGTTGGGAGAATGAATGGTGGATCGGTACCGTTTGCATGATATGGAATGACCCATTTTAATATGATTAAAACAGACATGTAACCGAAAATACCCCATAAGAACATTAATTGTGGAATGAATTGAGTGAAAATGTTGACGAATTTGATTGGACCTTTTTGATTTAAATAATTGAGGAAAGAGAAAAAGATACCAAGAGTCATTTGAATGACACCAAAGAGAATTGAAAGCTTCATCTTGAAAGAGTTATAGTAGACTAATTCATTTGGAGCACCTTTCCAGAGTGGATCAACACCGAATGGATAAGTACGTTCAACGTTGGTATAGTTGTACCAGGAGACGTATGGATAAGTGTTGTTGTTGCCAAAATCGTTGTAATTAACATTTGGTCTAGCAGAAGCTTGAGCTTTAGTTAAACAAAATGGGCTAGCAGCTGGATTGTAACAAGCGGTATATTGAGTACCAAAGATATTCATTGGGATGGAGAACATTTCGTTGTAAATGAAACCGACGTAAATTGAGAATAAACCCATAAGGAAGAGTACATAACGACCATCGAATGGCATTTGAATGAGTTCATTAAGTTTTTTGCCTGCAAGTTTCTTTTCGATTGCAATTAAACCAATTGAAGAGAGTAATAAGAGTGCACCATGACCGACATCACCAAACATAACACCGAAAAGGAATGGGAAAGTAACGATGGTTAAAACTGCTGGATTGATTTCACGATAGTGAGCAACACCATAAGCATTAACGATTTGTTGGAAAGAGTTTGTGTATTTGTTGGTTTCAAAGTGAGTTGGTGGAGTTTCGTCAGTTTTAATGACTGAAAGAACTGATGGAACAAGAGCACCACTACGTGTAGTGGCAGTACGAAGAGCTAATTGAATTTCTTCAATTTTATCTTTTGGAGTCCAACCTTTGGCAATAAGACATTTTCTACCAACATCATAATCGAAAAGATTCATAGTGTGATAAATTGATTTTTCTTTTAATACTTTGGCTTTCCAGCTGAAAAGTTGTGGGACAATACCTAAAAGGGTTTGTTTTTTATGTTCTTTACTACGTTGAAGAACTTCACTTAAATCGTTGATACGAATAGTGACTTTTTGTAAAAGATTTGAACGTTCAAATGAATTATCTGGACAATCGTAAATATTGGCACCAAATGATTCACAAATCTTTTTAATTTTTTGTTGAAGACGGTCACCTTGGAAGAAAACAATAAATACAGTTTTGGCAGTTTCTTCACCAGTATGTGGATCGATAATTTCTTCGTCGATACGAGCGTCTTTAACGTAATTGTTACCACGAGTAGTTCTCCATAATGAACGTTGGAATTGTGGCATTTTGTCAGTGTTCATAACACCAGTAATAAAACCTAATTTAACACCTTGTTTGGCAGCTTCTGAGATTTGTTGTTCTTGATCTGCTAAAAGTGGGCTACGGGCGCTATGTTCAACATTGTTTTGTGCTTCAATAAGGTTTGGATTTTCTTGGAAGAAAACGCTGTCTTTAGTTAATACGTGGCTTAATTGAATTAATTCATTATAATTTCTTTGAAGAGTTTCTTGATTAGTGTTGGCTTGTTTTAATTCAGCTTCTAATTCATCAAAACGAACTTCTAATTCGTCCATTTGTGATTCATCATTTGGAATATTTAAAAGACTTTCTGGTAATTGTTTGGCTAATCTTGGTTCTTTTCTAATTTGTTCTTCAAAAAATCTTAATTTCTTTTCCATTTCATCACATCTTTTAACTTCATTGACAAAATTTCTTTGGAATAAATTGACATTTTCATTATCCTATAAAAACAAATAAAAATAGTTGGTTAATATTTTATTTATATCACATTTATATTATATAAAAAATAAAAATAAAAATAAATATAAAAATAAAAATAAAAATGAAAAAAATCTAAAAATGGGGTTTTTATAAATTTTTATTATATATATTTATATTTTCATAAATAATTTAATTTGTTGTATTGTATACCCTAATATAATTATAACTATAGCTGTATTTTTATTTATAGTATTATTATTGATTTATTATTTTATTGATTTATGATCGATCATAAAAACCATTTTTAGATTTTTTTATTTTCATTTTTTATAATTTTTTTTTCCTGTATTTACTTACATCTTTGAATTGAATTAAACCTAATTTACCAAGTTCGTCGACAGTATCGTGGGCTGCTTCAATTTGTACAAAAAGTTGTACCATTTGCATTGGAGAAGATCTCCAAATTGGTGTATTTAAAAATCCACCTGCCATTTTATTTATATATTTACTATACTATACTATATCTCGGTTAAATATACAATATTCTATAATAAACTATTCTATTTATTTTTTTTTATTTATACAACACAAGTCAATTTGTTATTATTTTTTTATATATAATGAACAAATATGTAATGTTACTTGTAAATAATGACTATTATATTAACTTTATTTTTATATCGGAAAAATAAAATTTAATATAAGTAGTTGAATGTTATTAAACAAAAAAAAAAAAAACACTATATAATAACAAAAAAAGTTCTATAAATATAGAATAATAGTTGATATATATATGCGAAAATAAAAGTTAGATAAAAATTTTAAAAAAAAAAAAAATATTTTATGTGTTAAAAAATTTTAAAAAAAAATTAAAAAAATTATTTTTAAAAAAAAATTAAAAAAAAAAAATAAAAAGAAAATTATTTTTTAACCAGTCTCGGTTGCCCATATAAAACCATGCCTGGTGTCGTTATTATAAAAAAATGATAATTTAAATTTTCTATCTTTTTTAAAAACTATTATTATTTTTATTAGTTTATTGAATTCTATTTATATGGTAATAAACTAAAAAATAAAATAATAAAAAAATAAAATAAATAAATAAACACAACCACATTTTAAAAAATAAAATATAAAAAAAATTAAAATTAAAAAATAATAAAAGTTTAAAATAAATATGATATTATGATTTAAATATCTATATTATAATAACTCTTATTAGATATAATAAAAGTAGCATATATTAGTAATATAATAATAAAATACTTTTAAGTAATATATATTCAAAAATGTAAATTTTTTATTTTTTATGTTTTATTTTTTTTTTGGTGTTAGTGTGTGTGGAATATTCATATATAAAATAATTATAATCATTTCTCATTGATATCATATTAATGATGTTTGAATGTGAGTTTCATAATTGGCAATATTTTGAATAAATAACTTCAATATCTGAATGTAATTAACGATTTTTTTATTTTATTTTTTATTTTTTTTTTTTAAAATTTTATAATTATTTTTTTATTTTTATTTTTTTTAAATTTTTTTTATTTTTTATTTTATTTTTTTTTTTTATTTAAAATTTTGATTTGTTTATTTCTTTTTTTTTTTTTTTTTTTTTTTATATAAAGTTTTAATTAATCTTTTATTTAAAGAAATAAATTTATAAAAAAAATTAAAAAAAGCTTTCCAACTTTGGAAAGAGAGCTTTTTTAAATATTTAATAATATTAATATAACAATAATAATATATAAATCAATTGTATTTTTATAAACATAAACACATTGCAGGTTTTTTTTTAAATGAAATGAAAACAACAAGATTATCAACTACTACTACAACCACACCCGCTGGTTCAATTGGGTCAAGATTATTTTCAACACCAAAGATTGATTCATCACCAATCAATGTAAGTAAAACTAAAACTAAAATTATAACATATTTTAAAATGTATAGTTACTAATAGATATTTTTTCAATAATAATAGTTTGAAAATGAAAAAGAATTAACAAAAAAACTAGAGGAAATTACAAGTGATTTCAAAAATAAAGAAAAAGATTGGTCTTTTAGATTAAAATCATTACAAGTTTTACAAAGAATTATAAATGGTAATGCAATAGAGTTTAAAGGATGGTCAATGTTATTAAGAAGTTTAACATCGGGATTAATTGAACAATTATTGGAGCTAAGATCAACTATTGTAAAAGAGGCATGTCAATCAGTCAGTTTGTTATGTCAGAGAATGAAGGGTAAATTCGAACCATTCGCACAGTTATATATACAGCCATTAATCAGAATGGTCCCAGTTAAAACCACTATTATAGCAGAGAGCGCACATCAAACTATAAAGGATATTATAGAAAATGTTCAAACCAAGAATATATTTCAAGTGTTTTTAGATGGATCAGTGGATCAACATAACGAACAGCTTCGTAAACGTTGTTGCGAATATATTTATATTGTTATCAATAGGGCCATCGATTTAGAGGGTATGATTTTACTTTCTAGTATACCGGCATTGGAGAAATCAATTCAAAAGTTATTAGTTGATGCTGCTAGTGAAACTCGTCAAATAGCCAGATATTGTTTTTGGTCATATATTGAATTAAACGAAAAAAGTGCAACAGCTTTATTCTATCAATTCACTCCAACTACTCAAAAAAATTTATTCACCGTCATCGATCAACTCAAAGGTGAACAATTAGAAATTGCAGAAAAACTGAAGAAATCTTTGTTTGAAGAGGAGCAGGATCAAAAAATGATTGAGGATTTAGATATGGATATCGATTTAAATGATTTTAAAAAAACAACAACTACTACTAATGGTACTACAGGTGAAGGTTTAAGATCCAAAACACCAACTTCTCAAACTGGTAGAGCTTCAGGTTTAAAAACTAGAGTTCCAATTAAAACCCCTACTGAATCCTCACTAAGAAGAGCTGGTTCATCATTAAGTGCTAATAGAGACATTCAAACAACATCAGCATCGGCAATCAAAAAGCCTTTGGATACTAGTTCAATAATTAGAAGTAAAAGTAGTTTAGGTACAACTAGAAAACTAGATAGTGGTTTAGGTACATCATCATTAAATTCATCATCATCATCATCATCGTCATCATCAACAACCAATACAACCAGTTCATCACAATCACCTCTATCTAAAACTATTAAAACAACAAGTCCAAATTTAGCCACCTCATCATTATCAGGTAGATATAGTAGTATTGGTACTAGAGCTCCAACCACCTCTTCTTTATCTAAAATGCCTTCGAGTTCGAATTTAACAAGATCATTACCACCCATTAATAAGTCACCAGTTTCACCACCTTCACCATTACCACCTGCACCAACTTTAACAAAATCGAAATCAACTCCATCATCACCTTTAACTTCAAAAACCACCACTACTACCTCAACTCCAAAGAAATTATCAGCAACATCATCGACACCAACAACTCCAACGACCCCAGGCACTAAAAAAACATCAAGTTTATCTTCACCTGCAAGAACTACATCATCAGCATTATCTAAAACCACTACTGCATCATCATCAGCAACATCGACACCAACCGCTAAAAAAACATTTATTACAAAATCAAGTTCTGAAAATGAAGATTCAATAAAGCCTTCAAAAGCTACTACACCAGCCAAATCTACACCAAAAGCCGAAGAAAAGAGAAAATCAGTTACAAGTGAATTGGATTTAGAATCTTTAGAAATTAGTTTAAATCAAGATAACAATTTAGCATTCAAAGAGATTTCTGAAGAGTTATCAAATAATCTTAGAGACGCTAAAAAAGGTTTATCATTTTATGAAGAAGGTAGGTTATAAATATATTTAAATCAATTTATAATTATTGTTATAATACTAATATTTTGTAATTGATCATTTTTTTAGAATTAACATTGGAAGATTTAGAAATAAATGGCGAAGGCAATAGTAAAAGAAATAGTGTTAGTACATTTAAAAATAATATAAAGAAAACAACCAGTGCAGAATTAGAATTTAATTGGTTAGAGGATTCAGTCAATGATGGTTTAATTGAAGACGACGTTTTGGATTTTAATGAAGAGGGTGAAAATAGTAATAGTAGTTTTTCATCAAAATCAAATTTAAGTAATAAAAATAATACAATTCTTGAAGAGGATGAAGAATCGCAAGATCTAGAGGAAATCCAAGAGGAGGAGGAAGAAGAAATAATAGAGGAAGAAAAAAAAGAAGAGATAGATTATGATGACCCAGAATTAATGTTTTAATCAATTATTTTGATTTTAAATATTTTTTTTTTAGATATTTCTTTTTCTTTTTTTTTTTTTAAATTTTTCCAGTATAAAAATGTAAATAATAAATAAACTCAATATATAAATAATTAAATAAATAATATAAAACATCAATAAAACCCAACAATAAGCAAAAAAAAAAAATAAAAAAAAAAAAATAAAAAAATTATAAAATTTAAAATATAAAAGAAATTAATGTTCTTATGTATAGTAAATATTACTATTTAATTATAAATAAAAAATAAAAGTTCAAATTATTATTATAAAAAAATAAATATTTGCTTGTTTAGTTGATATATTAAATTTTAATTTTATTTTTTTTAAAGGAAAATGGAAATTTAAATTAATGCTTTATAAGATTTAACACGATTTTCTATATCAGATAAAGCATATGGATTTGTAATATTGGTCGGTATATTATATTTTTCACCTAAATATGTTAAAAATAATATTGTTAGTGGGTGGTTTTTATTAATATACATATTAATTAATTATTTACCATTATATATATTTGTTAAAACATTTCTAATTTTTTTATTACTAATCGATCTTGGTAGTTCATCTACTATAATTAAATGTTTGATGAATGTTTTTTCAATCATTGCATTGAATATTAAAGATTGATTAATTTTTTCTAATAATTGATCTGTAAATTGTTTTGGCTGTTGGCAATAAAATTGTTTATATTGGTCTTTTAATATTATAAATGCTGCTGGTGCTTGTTCTGAAGGGTCATTGGGGTTTAGTGATGAAACAGGTACTACGACATTATCATAAATCATTTCATTACTTTGGATAAAATCTTCAAAAAATGTGTTGTATGCTAATTTGTTATTGCCTGTACTGATTGTGTCTTCTGCCCTGCATACTATAAAGTAATATCCATTTTCATCATAATATCCTAAATCACCACTTTTATAATAACCTGGGTACTCGTCAAGGTATTTATTATTGAGTTTTGTTTGATATTGATCGTCATAAAGAAGTGATTGTATGTGTAATGGTGAAAGTGGTAATTTAATTACTAGTTCACCTAGTTGATATGGTTTTGTAATTATTTCTTTTGTTATGGGGGACTTTAAACCAACACTAAAGCCTGCAACTGGGACACCTGATGATTTTTCAAGATATGGTATTTGATGAGATGGATAAGTTAATATAACACCAGTTTCACTTTGTCCATAGCTATCATTGATTGGGACACCTATTTTTTTTGTAATAAAATCTGCTACTGAGGGATTGAGGTTTTCACCACCCAAGATAACTGATTTTAAACTAGATATATCATAGTTTTTGATAGTATCGGCATTTGGATCTATACTATGGACTAATCTAAATATTAATGCTGTTGATATCATTGTTTTAACTTTATACTTTTCTATAATTCTAAAGTATTCAATAGTGGGTATATTTTGATCACCTTCATATACTATTAATGATGAGCCGTGGAACAGGGAACCATAAAATAAGTTTTGGCCAAAAGCCCAACCAATACTTGTTGTTGTAAAATATGTTTCACCAGCTTTAAAGTTATAGTTACATTTGTATGAATAGTAGAGATGGGCTAAATAACAACCGGTTTCATTATTGAAACCTTTTGGTTCGCCAGTGGTACCACTTGAGAATGATACTGATAAAGTATGTGATGATTCTAATATTTCATATTCTTTTAATGGTTGGACCCCTTGTACAATTTCATCCCAATCAAATTCCCCTTCAATCTGAATATTTCGATATGCTTTATTCTCTTCTTTACTGAAAAATTCTTCTTGCTTTTCTTTACTAATAAATCCAATACGGTTATGAATAATTGTATGGTTTGGTTTATGTGTTGATGTATCTAATGCTTCTTTAAGTTTGGAAATAATATATCTATATCCGTTGCCTTTAACACCGAATTTTGCAGTAATTATTAGTTTGGGTTGGAAATAATCTATTTTTGTAGATAATTGGTTTGCCTCTAACAATGTAGATGTGGTACTATAAATTGCACCAATACGAGCACAGGAGAGCATGGCAATATGGGTTTCCATATAATTTGGCATTAATATAATAATTTTATCACCTTTTCCAATAGTTAGGTTTCTTAAAACTCTTGAGAATACACATACACGTTGCCATAGTTCTTTATAAGTAATCTGGGAGGATAGGTTCATAGATGGACACTCATTATAGATTGCAACTTGATCACCTCTTTCTTTTAAATGGACATCCAAAACATTATTGCATACATTAGTAGAGCCATCCTTAAACCATTCAGGTCTTCTTTCGTCTCCACTCCATATTCGGGTATATTGTTTATCCCTTATATATATATGTTTGTTAAAATATTTGTGTGGTTGAGTATGATTGAGCCATATTTTGAAAATTTAAAAAATAAAATTAAAATAAAATTAAAATAAAAAAAATTTAAAAAATATATGAATATTTACCAATGAATTTTATTTCCTACTTTATTCCAGAATGATATAAAGTCATTTTTTGAAAATTCTTTATCATTCTCGTAATTAAATGGTTCACTAAGCTCACAGTTTTTCATAAACATTTTTTTGATATTTAGTTATTGTTTCTAAAAATTTAAAATTAATAAACAAAAAATATTAACAATTGAATAAATACAAGAAAATAATAGTAAAATAAAATTTAATAAATTAATAAATAAATAAATTAATGAAAACATTAATAAAATAAAATAATTATTATAATAATCTATAAAGATTTTAAAATAGATTTTGTTTTTTGATCTATTTTAATTTAACATTCACATTCTGCTCAACTAAATATCTCATAAAATGACAGAAGTTTCAATAAACACTGTTTAAAATATACTTTTACAAGATTCTAAAAATATATAAAAAATAATACCTTAATTAGAATTTGGTTTTTAAGGAGTCAACAAGTTCTTCACTAAATGTTTAGTATTTATGGTTATTAAATATTAAATAGCCACTCTTTATTTATCAAGAATTTATCTATTTATAATTTTTAATAACCAATAAAATAATTGTAACTGTTTAAATTCAATACTTTATATATAAATTTATATTTTAATTTATGAGTAAATTAATAAAAATAAAATGATTATTAATATTATTTGTTTTTTAATAAAGGGGTTAGATAAATTTTTTAGGGGTAAAATTCTGTGGCCAGTGTGAGTAAATTTTAATTTTTAATAATGTATTCCTTATATGAAATAAACCTAAATTTCTTTTTTTTTTTATTTAAAATATTTATTTTTAATTATTTTAACAAGTCATCTTTTGTTTTATGAACTAAATAAGCACAAATATTATATTTTTCTATCAAAATAGTTGAATAGTTTAACATTGATGTAAATTTTCTGGCCACTAATATGGAATCATCAGCAGAATTGACACCTTTTAGTTTATGAATGTTACCGTTCATTGTTGCTATTGTATTATGTATTAAATTTTCATCACCACATTCTTTTTTGAGGTTTAATGATGCTTGTTTGTATGCCAAAGTGACTCTTTCTAATTTATCTCGTAAAGCTTCATTACCTTCCCAAGATTTTTTATAAATGACTTTATCTTTAATATTTTTATAATTTGATATTAATAGTTTTTTTGTAACTCTTTTTCTTTCTTGCATAGTGTGGTGTGTGAATAAAAAATGGAAAATTTAAATTAAAATTTAATTAAAAAAAAAAAAAAAATAAAAAAAAATTAACAGTTTATTTTTTTTTCAAAAATTATAAAAAAAGTTGGGGCACCCCAACATTTTTAACTTTAAAAACTGCGACACTTTAAGGATTAAATTTAATTATTTTTTTAAAGAAGTTCAAAAAAGATTTGTACACATATCCAATAAAATTTTTTTTACTTTTAACAATTTTTTCTGTATTTAATTTTCGAAATATTTAAAAGAAATGAATGACAATTTCGAATCTTTTCCTATTTATTGTCTTGGGATGTTTCATAAAATGTAATATTATCCATTAATCTAATTTAAAATTAATATTTACAAAAAAAAAATAAATAAAATAACAATTTCTGTTAATTTTTAAAAAAATAATTGATACTTTTTAAAGTTTTTTTAAAATTATAAAACTGCCCACAAAATATTTTGTTTTTTATTTGAACGCTTGTTAATATATGAGTTTATTTATGATTACATATTGTTTTGAATGTGGTGATTATTATAATTATTATTATATGTGTAAATTATTTATAATATTAAAAATTTAATTGTTAAAAGTATTATAGTTGTAAATATAAATAATGGCGAAATTGGATAGTAACCAATTCTTTCATTTTCTAAATATTCTTCAATGGTTACATTGAGGCCTTGTTTAAAACTATATTTTGGTTTAAAGCCTAGTTCACGCTTGGCTCTTTCATTACTATATAGACGGTCTTCTTCCATTCTTTTGAGGGTTTCAGTTTTAAGAAGGAATGGCTTTCTTGCATTTGGTAAATTGTACATAATGAAACCTAGGAGATTGACAGCAGGGTAGCAAATTGAGGCAGGTAGTCTTAAACGTGGCTTCATTCTATTTAGCTTTTCATTTAAAAATATTAGGGCCTCTTTGTAGGATAAACCTTTGTCTGGTGTGATGATATAGGTGTGGGGCAATTCGGTATCGTCAGTAGCCAATTTCTCTTTGACAAGAGAAAGTTGAATAGCTTGAACGAAATCATCTATATGTAAATACATACAATGTCCAGTTGCAAAAGATGGCAGAAAGAAGAGAATACCGTATGACACTGTTTGAATTAATTCAAACATTGAAAACTGATCGTTTTTACCAAATAAACCAGTTGGTCTTAAAATGATAGTATCCAAGCCAAATCTTTCTTCAAATCTTCTTACATGGTCCTCAGCTATTCTTTTAGTTTCTCCATAATAGTAGTTTGGATTGCTATAACGATCCTCAAACTCTGAAATTGGTATACCAGTTACTGGTTTCTTGCCGCCCATAGTCTCAGTAGATGAACAATATATAAATCTTTTAATTAGTGATAGTTTGTTTTTGAATGTGGTTGGTGAGGATGAGGTTGGGGTTGATGGTGCTGACATTGATGATGATGATTCTAAATCTATGTTTACTGATGCTTTTAATAAATTTTCTGTACCTATCACATTAGTTTTAAAAACAAGTGCATTCTCTTTATCTGTGGGATAAAAGGTCATAAAAGATGCCAAGTGTAATACTATATCTATATTGTTATCTATTATAATTGATTTAAGGTTTTTTATACATTCAATTTGCGATGTTTCATTGAGATCTACGAAATCCCCAATTATAAGTTGAAAATTCTTGTATGATTTTAAATCTTCTAAAAATCTACTTTTACTTGATTGCTCTCTTACAAGTGCAAAAACATTGTATTTTAAGTTGTCATCTTCTTCATCATCACTATTTTTGTTGTTGTTTTTATATTTATTACTGATGTCAAGTAATGTTGGTGATGGTGTTGAAATTGCTTGATTTAATTTGGTTTGTAATAATGGTTTTATTAAATTTGTACCAACAAATCCAGTAATACCTGTTAATAATATGTTTTCCTTCATTTTAAATATAGTTATTTATTATTATTTGTTTGTGTGGGTTATTGATGAAAAATAAATTAAAAAAAAAAAATATAAAAAAAAAAAAATTTTAAAAAAATTTAAAAATATTTTAATTTAAATATTTAATTTAGTTTTTAATATTTTATCCACTCAAATAAAATTAAAAAAAAATATTCATTAGATTATAGGTATACTGTATCTATACATAGTAAATGGTTGTATTTTAAATTAAATATGAAATTAACAAAAAAAAAAAAAGAAATAAATATTTAATTTTTTTTAAATAATTTTTTTTTTAAATAATTTTTTTGTATTTATTTTCACTTTTTTTTTTAAATTTTATTTTTTTTTTTCAAAAAAATTATTTATTTATTTTTATAATAGATCTTCCTATTAAATATATTGTTATATTTTTACTGTAATTTGTATATATATTTTTAAAATTAAAAAATATTAAATGGGTATAGTAGAATATAAAGAGATTCAATCTCCTATAGAAGATCAAGTTTGTAAAGAATATAGAACAAAATATGCAAATTCACCTTTAATTATAGATAATGGTTCATACCAGTGCAGAGCTGGTTTTTCGATAGACGATAACCCTAAACGTAAGCATTGGTAATATCAAGTTTCAATTTATAAATTTATATTAACACTTTTAATATTTTTTTATTAGTAATATTCAGATCATTGGTTGGTAAAGTTAAAAGTACATCAAACCCAATTGTTGGAAATTCAATTAAAGAAAGTGATATTTCAAGGCTAAACATCAAAAGTCCATTTGATTTAGATGTATTGGTGCATCCACCATCACAAGAAAGTATTTTAGATCATTTATTTCATAAATTAGGTATAGAGTCTGCAATTGAAAACCCAATTTTGATGACTGAAGCAGCTTCAAATCCATCTTTTTGTAGAAAATGTATGTTGTTAATATTTCTTTTTTTTTTTATTAAATATGTGCAAATACTAACCAATTTTTGTTTTTAATAAAGATATGAGCGAATTATTATTTGAATGTTACAATATTAAATCAGTGGTTTATGGTATCGATTCATTGTTTTCATTTTATGGTCAAAAACATCAATTAAAAGATGGTGGTAAAAATGCATTAATTATTGATTCTAGTTTTAATACAACTCATATTTATAATGTGCAAGATTATAAAGTATCACATCAACACACTAAAAGAATTAATATTGGCGGTGGCCTAAGTACAGATTACCTAAGAAAAGTAATTCATGTTAAATATCCAAAGCATAAATCATATTTTACTCAAAATTATACAAATGTAAGTACTATTTAATCGTTAAAATACAATCCCCTAAAGCGCCTTTATTAATAAGTTATTTATTTATTTATTAGAAAATTAAAGAAGAACATTGTTATTTTACAAAAGAATCATTTATTGAAGAATTAAAAGAATTTGAAAATGATAAATTAGGAAGAGAAAAATCAGATATTATTCAATTACCATATCAAGCTATTGATTTTGAAAAATTAGAAGAAGATAAACAAAGGAAGCTTCAAAATCGTAAAGAGTTGGGCGCCAAACTTAAAGAAATGGCAGATAAGAAACGTATGGAAAAAAGACAGGCTCAAGAAGATAGATTACAGGTTTTAGAGTCAATATTGAACCTCAAGCTCAACAATAATATCGACGAATATAATGTATCATTAAAAGCAGAGTTAATGGGTGAAAAAGATTTAATAAACGAAATTGAAGATTTAAAAGAAAAATTATTTGGCAAGAAAAAAGAAGAGCATGCAGAAGGTGAGGACGAGTTCCCTCTATTAAGCAGACCAGATTCAGAGTTGACCCAAGATCAATTAAAAGAGAAAAAGAAACAAAGACTTTTAAAGAGTATGAAGGATGGTAGATTGGCAAACAAGAGAAAGAGGGATGAAGAAAAAGAAAAAGAAAAAGAAAAGGAAGAAGAGAGAGATAGACAAGAAGAGGAAATGTTCATTAAAGACCCAGAACAATATGTCAGGGACTTACATATTAGAAGATCTAGAATCTTTGATAAGAAAGAGCAAAAACAAAAGCAAAAGACCAAAGTGGTGGTTCAAAGAAATTCAAGATTAAGAAGCATTCTTTCGACAACAAATCGTGATGATAAATTTTTGGGTGACGAAGAAGTGGACCAAGAAGAAATAGAGGATACCAAAGAGTTGGCTGTACTCGAGAAACTGTTAAATAAATTTGATCCTGGATGGTCCACCTCCACAAACAGCGACGATCTATTGTTTGGTGGCGACTACCCAACAGCAGAGGACCATCAAGTAATTTTAGGTGTTGAAAGAATAAAAACACCTGAAATCCTTTTCCAACCAAAAGCAATTGTAGGTTTAGATCAAATGGGTTTAATGGAAGCAATCACAAGTACAATTTTATCACAACTCTCACCAGAATCTAGAAAGTTAGTAACAGAAAATATATTTTTAACAGGTGGTAATGCAAATACTAAAAACTTTAGGGATAGAGTTCACTATGAAATTACTCAACTTCGTGAACCACACTCACCTCTTAATGTATTCAAATCAAATAACTCTCAATTAGACGCTTGGTTTGGTGCTAGAAAATGGGTAAATGATAACATTGACCAATGGAACCAATTTTCAATTTCAAAAGAAGAATATCAAGAAAAAGGTTATGACTATATTAAAGACCATTTTGCTTCGAATCCAACATCCTCTTATCAAATAAATTAAAATATAAATAATAATAACTTTTTTTTTTTTTTTAAAAAATAAATTAATAGAAGCTTTATTTAATACTTTCCATTTCCAACATTTCAAAATGTGGAGCATTTAGATAAACATGTCTAGTTTTTCTAGGCTTTTTCATTCGTTTATAAATAATATAAATTAAAATGCAACATATAAGACCCCCAAAACCAAATATTATAATTGTTGATTTGACTATTTAAAAATAAAGAAGTTAGTTTTATTAATTTTATAAAAAAAAAAATTTTATTTAAACTTACTCGATTGATTATATGGATCTATTTCTTGTTTATTGGCATGATGAATAAAATTGTCATTTTCTAAATTCTTATTATTATTTTTATTATTATCTCTATTATTTTTATTATTATTATTGTTGTTCTTGTTTTTATTGTTATTATTATATAAATCATTTTTAATGTTTTCTTGGCTATCTGCCTTTTTAATTTGATTGTTTGAGTTATTGGGATTAATTATAAAATCTTTACCGCTTCTGTCATTTTTAATTTCATCCACACTTTGTTTTTTATGACCATTTTCATTTTTTTCTTCACTTTTTATATCTGAAGAAATGGAACTATTAAAAGAATTGGTGTCAACTTTTACAATTTCCTCTTTATTACTTTCTTTGTTGCTACCTTCGTTTATATAAACTGTTTCCCCAATTTTCTCAAAGGATTCACTTTCCAATTGGGTCTCTTTAAAAGCTGGGGTTGTATTTTTATTACTATGGCTATTACCATTATTATCTTCTCCACTACTATTACTACCATCTCTTTGTATATACTTCTTTTCTTTTATTTCTTCAGATTTATTGCTATTAATTTCACTTTCATTGTTTAAGTGTTTATAATTTGACTGTTTTTGTTGAGGTTGTTTCTTCTCTTTTTCTTCTAAATGATAAAGATCTAAAGCTTCATCACTATTTTTTATGGGTATTTTTGCTCTTTGCTTATTAATATTTGAGTGTAAACTTTGACTTTGACTTTTTGAATTATTTGTTATTTTATTAGTATTATTATTAAAACTACTATTATTTAATTCCCCATTAACAATAATAAATATTTGTATAAAAGTTATTAATATAATTAAAACCATAAAATAATTATTCTTCATTTTAATAGTATTATTTTTAAACAAATAATTATTATTATCAAAATATAAAGAAATAAAAAATAGTGTAGTAAAAAATAAATAAAAAAATTCTTCCCCCTATAGAGAAAAACACCACATATTTTTACTTTAATTTATTATTTATTTTTTTTATTTATTTTTCTTTTTTTTAAATTATATTTACAAAAAGGGTGTGTAAAAGTGTGTCGATTCTGTTTGATTTGAAAATTGATTTAAAAATAGTTTTTAAATGTTTGCACTATTTTAATAATTGCACTATTATTATTATAATTATTATTATTATTATTACTGAAGTAAATTTAATCTCTCATCTCCAAAACAGAATAGTTTGCTGTATCTATATCTATTGGTGCTACACTTCCTGCTCTAAATTTTTTATACAAAACAACCATAATGAAAGCAATACAAACAACACCAATAGCATATGCTATATATGATCCATTGATAGCTAAAAAATAATTTTAAAATAATGAAAAAGTTAATTTAATTTAATTATTTTAATTGTTTTTACAAATTTAAAAAAAAAAAACTTACATTTATATTTGAATGGGTCCTTTTCATTTTGCTTTTTATTATAACCAATTGTAGTAGATTTTGAAGCTAAATCGCCCTCCATATCTACACTTTCTGATGATTCATCGCTGATACCTGTTGAGTTATTTGGTGATGGGGTGGAACCTCCTGTGCTAAATGAAGTTGTACTGGTAAATAGTGAGGGACTTGGTGATTGACCTCCGGTGCTTGCTGAGGAATTTGTTGTTCCATTGCCACCTCCTGAGGTGGTTGGTGAGGGACTTTGTGTCGTATTACCACCTGATGTACCACTCGACGCTGTATTATCTGGTTGACCACTGGTTGTTATATGTAAACCATTATCACAATCATCTTCGTCTCCATCTTCGCAATCTGGTCCAAAAGAATAGGTAAATGAAACCATAAGCAACACCAAAATAATTAAAACAACAACTTTTAATTTCATTTTAAAATATAATTTAATATCCAATAATTAAATTGAATACCTATTGTTTTTAAAACTAAAAAAAAATAAAATAAAATAAATAAAATAAAATAAAATCTTTTTAGAAAAAAAAAAATTAATTAAAATTTTAAAAAAAAAAAAAAAAAAAAAAAAAATTAACGAAAAAACATTTGCACACGTTGATTTTATTGCAACCTTTGTGAGAATTGAATTACTTTACCCAGTGATTCATTTTAAACGATATCTTAAAAAAACAAATTTGTGTATTATTTTAGATTATATATATTTTTTATTTTTTTTATTTTTAGAAAAAAAAATTATTTTATTTGTATTTATTTCAAAACATTATTTATTATTTACTGGTGGTTGTTTATTTTTTATTTTTATTTTACTTTTATTTTTATTTTTTAAAATGTTATTTATTATTTATATATTTATTCTTTTACAAGGTTATTTATTCTTTTAATTTCATTTCTTGTTCTTCTTGGACTTTCTTTAATTGCCCTATTTCTTAAAATTTGTTCATCACGAGCACCAATTGAGTAATCTACTCTATCTAAATTGTATCTGTGTGGCTATAGTAATAAATGATAATTTATGAATTAATATTTTATTCTCGTTAAAATTTTTATTATTTTTATATTAATTGAGTGAAATAATTGTTTGAAAGATTGTTATAATCATTTTTATATTGGTCAATCCAATTTAAAAAAAAAAACTATCTGTATATTTTGACATAGATTCTTTTAAAATTTATAAAAATAATCTGTATTGTTGAAATTTCAATTTGAGTGTTGGGTTGAGTGTTGAGTGTTGAGTGTTGAGTGTTGAGTGTTGAGGGTGGTTTATTGTTGTGTGTTGAACATTATGTTTTTATTTTTTGATTGCACTAAAAAAATGTATCTGTTTTAAATCCTACCTTTCCATAATGGAATAATCTGTGTGTGGCATCTAAACCAACACCAATTACAACTAATCCACCAGTAATAATACCGAAAACTGGAAGTACTTCTAACCAAGTCATTTTAGTATATTATAATAAAAATGATAAATATGTATTGTAAAAAATTAAAAAATAAAAAAATTTTAAAAAAAAAAATTATAAAAAAATTTAAAAAAAATTCAAAAAAAATATTTTTATTTAAATTTTATTTTTTTTTATTTTTTTTTTTTCAAATATTTAATTTTTTTTTTTTTTTCATTGTTTGAAAGTTCATTAAACAACAAGTTATCTATATATTAAATAATTTAATTATTATTTAATTAATCAATATACATATATAATATTAAAATGGTATTTAATAAAATATAATCAATTATAATTAAAATTATAAATATTAATCATTAACCATCATTCATTTAATCAATTATTTAATATTTAGTCAGTTACATTACATACAAGTTTAGGTGATATTAAAGTTGAGATATTTTGTGATTCTGTACCGATGGCATCAGAGAATTTCCTGGCATTGTGTGCATCAGGTTATTATAATAATACAATTTTTCATAGAAATATTAAAGGATTTATGATTCAAGGTGGTGATCCAACTGGCACTGGTAGAGGCGGTGAATCAATTTGGAAAAAACCTTTTAAGGATGAACTCCCATCACATTTAAAAGTTTGTATCATTTTTTAAAACAAAATATGTATTTCATTTATTAATTTTTTACAATTATTTATAAATATGCAGCATAATACTAGAGGTATACTTTCAATGGCAAATAGTGGTCCAGATACAAATGGATCACAATTTTTTATAACATATGCTAAACATAGAAGTTTAAATAAACTTTATACAGTTTTTGGAAAGTAAGTAAAAACAATCAACACCAAATAATTCTATAATTAAAATAAATATTAATCAGAAACCATTTAACAATATTTTAGAGTAATTTCAGGAATTGAGGTTTTGGACTCAATGGAAAAAGTACCTGTGGATGATAAAGATTTACCATTAAAAGAAATAACATTAAAATCAGTAACAATTCATGCAAATCCAATAGCAAACTAATACAGGCTAGATCTATATTATATATTTCAGCAATAAAAAAAAAGAAAATTGTAAATATAATTTTAAAAAAAAAATAAAAAAATAAAAAAGTAATAAATAAATATTATTTTAAACTTTTTTTTATTACACAAAATATTTTATTAATTGTTTTATAATTTTATATTTTTATAGTTTTTATTTTTTTTTTATTTTTTTTTTTATAAAAATAAAATTTAGTATTAGTGATTTAATTGTCTTGAACTTAATTGAGCATATGCACCATCATTTTCAACCAATTCTTCATGTGTACCTTTTTCTATAATTTGACCAGCACGAACATAAGCAATGCAATCGGCATTTTGGATAGTTGATAAACGATGAGCAATTACCAAAGTAGTACGACCCTTCATTACATTATTTAGAGCATCTTGAACCAATTTAGAGTTATCTTCATCTAAAGCAGATGTTGCTTCATCTAATAATAAAATCTTTGGGTTACGAATAATTGCACGAGCAATAGCAATACGTTGTTTTTGACCACCACTAAGTTGTGTATACTTGTCACCCAATTGAGTGCTATAACCGTCTTTGAATTGAGTAATAAATGTATGTGCATTTGCTAAACGTGCAGCCTCTTCAATTTCTTCTTGGGTAGCATCTAGTTTTCCATAACGAATATTATCTGCAATTGTACCGCTAAATAAAGTGGGTTCTTGGCCAACCAATCCAAATAAGCTTCTTAGATGTTTAACATTTAAATTACGAATATTATGACCGTCAATAAAGATTTCACCAACTGCTGGGTTATAAAAACGCAATAATAATGATAGAATTGTTGATTTACCACCACCACTATCGCCTACAAAAGCATTGGTTGTTCCTGATGGGATTGCAAGTGAAAAACCTCTAAATACATTGTTATCTGGACGTGATGGATATGCAAAGTGAAGATTCTTAAATTCCATGTCACCAACAACAATATTGATCCTTTCACCCTCTTCTGAGCTTGGGTCGATCTTTGATAGTGTATCAATTAATTTAAATACTGAAATTGCTGCAACTTTAGCTTTGGCCAAATCTGGTGCAAAGGATGAGGCTTGACCAATACCAATAGCACTCATTACGATTGCAAAAAATACCCTAGTCATTGCATTGAACCCATAGATTGTATTGATGGCACTTACACAAACGTCATAGTCATTCCAAAGTTGTGGAATAGTTTGATCATTACAATTATTGCTAATCTCTGTGCTTGTAGCATGGAAAACACCTGATCCAACTAATTTACCACCATACCAGAATGATAAACAATATGTACAAAATAGAATTAACTGGGTAAATCCATAAGCAAAACCACTGATGTGAGCTTTTTTAATACCTTCACGAGATGGACCTTTTAATTGTTTTTTATATAACTCTACAACCTGTTTTTCTGTTGTAAATGATGCGACTGTTCTAATACCAGAAATAGCCTCACTTGCAACTTGCCCTGCTGGACCACATCCGTCATTCTTTGAAAAACCTGCCAAAATTTGCATTTGAATTTTACTTGTAATGATTACCAATGGGAAACATGCAATAATAACCAATGTTAGTTGCCAACCCGAATAAAATGCAATTGCTAAACCACCCAACATTGTTAGAAGATTTTGTAAAACAATACCTAAACGTTGACTTGTCATACCCTGTACCAATGCTGCATCTGAAGCTAAATGTGATGTTAATTTACCGCACGAATTCTCTTGTAAATCAAACCAACCAATATCTTGTTTCATAATCGATGAGAAACAATCTTTACGCAATCTATATGTTAACTTTTCGCCAATAACTGAGAATAAGAAACCTTGGAAGAAATTACTGATACCAGCACCAACTGCCAATGCCACAAACATTAATGCTACAAAATTAGCATGTTCGGTGAGATAGTTTGGATCTGGGTTTTGGAAAATTGTTAACATTTCAGTAAATACCATAGTAAAACCTGGATACACTGCACCCGTTCCAACAGCTGATAAGAAACCAAAGAACCACAAACCATATTCTCCTTTATTATAGTTGATAACACGCGACATTGGGATATCCTCTGATTTCTTTTTCTTTTTCTTCTCTTCCTCTTCTTTTTGTTTTTTTGATGACTCTGGCTCACGCTTTCTAATGGATCTTTTGGAAACATGGAAACTATCTAATAATGGGTTAACATCTGAGAACGTGCTTGCTCTTCTTGATCTATTCATATCGAGAAGGTTATACATTTGCTGCTGGGTTTGTTTTTCGACAAGATTATAATATAAACCTTGTGAGGCCATCAACTCGTCGTGAGAACCTGTCTCAACTACTTGACCACCTCTAATATAAATAATTACATCAGCATTTCTAATGGTTGATAAACGATGGGCGATTACGATACAAGTACGACCTCTCATCAACATATCAATTGCCTCTTGAACAACTCTTTCATTAATGTCATCTAAAGCAGATGTGGCTTCATCCAATAACAAAATATTTGGATTCTTGATAATGGCACGAGCAATTGCAATACGCTGTCTTTGACCACCACTCATTTGAACACCCTTTTCACCAACCAAGGTATTATATCCATGAGGTAACTGGGTGATAAATGAATGAGCATTTGCTAATTTGGCAGCTTCTTCAATTTCATCTTGTGTGGCACCTTCTTTACCATAACGAATGTTTTCACTAATTGTAGTTGCGAATAGAACTGGCTCCTGATTTACCAATCCTATTTTTTCACGAAGACCCTTAACATTAAAATTTCTGATGTCCTCACCGTCTAAAAGAATTTCACCTTCAGATGGGTCATAGAAACGTTCCAATAGAGAAATGATAGTTGATTTACCACCACCACTATCACCAACAAGCCCAATTGTTTGACCTGGTTTAATTTTTAAATTAAAGTTTTTGAAAATTGGGTTATTTGGTCTTGCTGGATAATGGAAACCAACATTTTTGAACTCTATTTCACCTGACAAAACTTCTGGTTTAATACCCTCGGTTGAAAATGGATTAGCTGCAGATTTACGGTCAATAACTTGAAAAATTTTAAACGCAGCACCTCTACCCTGTGCAAAAATTGCTAAGCATGGTGAAGCTTGACCAATAGATGTAGCACCAATAATAACTGAAAAGAATACTGCAACGACATCACCACCAGTCCATGGATTACCACCAACAGAGTTTATTACCTTTTTAGAAATTAAAGTTGAACCGTACCAAAAAGCTAATGCATATGTACCTAAAATGACCAATTGACCAAAACCAATACCCAAACCATTATAAAATGCTCTTTTATACCCAACTGATCTAGCTTCCTTTAAATTTTCAGAATACTTGTCGATAGCCAAATTTTCACCAGAGAATGTTGCTACTGTTCTAATTGCGCTAATATTTTCTTCTGCAACACCACCTGCTCTACTATATGCATCTTGGCCGAGCTTTGTCATTTGGGTCATCATTCTTGCAGTAAAGAACCCACCAATAGCCAACAATGGTGAAACTGATGTTATAACCAATGTCAATTGCCAACCTTTAGTAAAACCAATGACAAAACCAGCAATGAATGTTGCAACAAAATGAATAAATCTTCCTACTTTTTCACCAATAGCTTCTTCATATAAAACAGTATCACTATTTTTTAAAAAAAAATAAAATATTAGTTTTTTTTTTTTTTTTGTTTTTTTTTTTAAATAATTTTTATACATACGAATTAATTCTTGATGATAGCTCATTAGCTTTATTTGTATCAAACCAACCAATCTCTTGTCTTAAAGTTGACTCTAAATATTGTCTTCTTACTTTATTTGATTGTCTTTCACCTGAAATCATCCATAAAGTTGTTTCTAAATATGATAAAACAAAAACACCACCACCCAACATTAAAAGATAAAAACTGATACTTCTTACAGTACCATAAACATCATAGTCTGGATCTTCATTAAATTTTGTTGGTTTAAATGCGTCAACCACTAAACCAAACACTATTGATACTGTTGGCATTGCTGCACCATTTATAACAGCTGCAAGGGCGCCAAAAAACATTAATATTTTATCTGTTGTATCTGCAAATTTGAAAAGGGCTAAAAAAGGAACTATATCTTGATTTTCGGTTTCTTTTTCACCATCCTTCTTATCCTTTTTACTCTTTTTAACTTTTTCATTTGCACCATCATCTTCGATACTTTCTGATGAATTTGAATTTGAATTTCCCTGGTTTGTATCACCAACACCAATTGATATTGGAATTGATTTATTTAAACTAATATTATTTCTTGGTGTATTTGGATTTGATACATAGATATCCCCAATTTTATTATTACCATTGTTGTTGTTATTACTATTATTATTATTATTATCTATTGGTTGTGTTCGTATTTCTATTTCGCTTTCACCATCCAATAACTGATCATCATCAACCTCCTCAATAATAATTTCATCGATTGGGATTTCTATTTCTATATCATCATCTTGATCCTGAATATTATTATTATAATTATTATTTGAACTATTCATTTATTTTATATTTATTAAAATAAATTAAATAATAAAAATTATTTAACAAAAAAAAAAAAAAAAACTATTTTAAAAGATTATTTTTTCTTTATTTTTTTTTAATATTGTAAATTATTTATTTGATTTGATTTTATAATCTTTTTATTATTCTTGTTGTAATTTTTTTTTTTTATTATGGTTTAAAAGACAAATAAAATTAAAAAATAATAATATTATTTTAAAACAAAAAATAAAATAAATTAAAATAAAAAAATAAAAAAAGCAATATCTTTTAAAAAAAAAAAAATAATTCTTATATTAAAAAAACAATAATGATAACAAAACAAGGAATATATAAAAGAGTGTAATCTTTATAAAATATAAAATAATTATATATTTTTAAGTATATATAATATGTTTATGTAAGTTTATTTTATTGAAAAAAACAGATTATGTGATGTTGATGATCATATAGTTGTAAATGGAATTATTATATTTTTTTTTATGTGGGTTTGTTATTGTTTTTTTTATAATTTAAAAATAATTTATTATCATAATTATATTCATTTGTTACTTATTATGGAAACACTGCAATAATATATATAAAAAATTAAAAAAAAAAAAATTTTAACACACCCACACGCACTTTGTTATATATACATGTACTTTTACGCGCTAATACATCAAACACCCACGCTAACACACAAACTTGAAACAATATATCTATTTATACATACAAAAAAAGAAAATATAAATAGAAACAGTGGGGGGAATGCATTTGTATATATATTTCCAATGTGATATAAAAATGATTTATTTTTTTTAGGGACTTTTTTTTTTTGTTATTTTTGAGTATACTCAATGCATTATATTGTGATTTTTGATTATATGAGTATTTTTAAAAAAAAAAAAAAAAAAAAAAAAAAAAAAAGAAAATAACAATAAATTCTGTAAATAATATTATTAAAAAGATTGACCAGCTTCAGGTAATATTAACATGTAGAATATATAATAATTAATACATCATTAATTAAAATATTTGTTTTTTATTTTGTTTTGTTTTTGTTTTGTTTTTCACTTTTTTTTTTTTTAGATTAAAAGATTCACAAAGTTAATAAATATATCATTAGCTAGTTGTTGTTTTAACAAAAATAATATTGTATATTAATTATAAAATTTTAATCTTTATTAAATTAAAACTATAATTTTAAATCAAAAAATATCCCGATAATTGTTATTTTTTTCAATTAATAAATAACATTTTATAAAAAAAAAAAAAGAAACAAAATATACACCCAAAAAATTTTATTTTTTAATATTATAATTTTAAATGTTTATTTGAATTTAGAATTTTAAAAAACTAACAATTAAATAAATTAAAATTTTAGTTGGCAAAAAAAAAAAAATAAAAATAAAGAATAAAACTAAGAATAATAAAAAAATGATGGTTTATTTTATTTACTAACAATGGCTAAATTAAATTTAATAGATTAATATTCCATTTTGATAAATAAATCTTTTTTTTATTTTATTTTTTTTATTTTATTTTTTTTATTTTATTTTTTTTTTCATTTTTTTTTTTTTTTTTTATTTTATTTTATTTTTTTCTTATAATAATAAAATTGGTGATTATATGATAAATGCCAACACAACAATTATCATGCATTACCAAATATATAGAATAATGGTTTAAATGAGATATTTTGGTTTTGAATTAAAATAATAAAACAAAATAATTAAAAAAAAAAATAATAAATAATAAATAATAAATAATAAATAATAAACAAATAATAAATAATAAACAAATAATAAAAAAATAATAAATAATAAATAGTTAAATTTTATTGAAAAAAAAATTGATTGGATTATATATATAACAAACTAATAAATAAATATTTATAAAACTAACTGATTTTTTTTTTCAAGATGCTTGTGTTATAAGGAAAAAGATATTTTCGTAATAATTCAGAAATTTCTAAAATATAGTGAGTTTGAATACTCAATTGATAAATTTAAAAAATGAAACCAGATTTTTTTGCGCACCCATACTAATGTTTTGTTAACCCGGTCTGTGTGATTATGTTATTGTAAAAAAAAAAAATCACATAATTACTACCAATCAAAAGAATTTCATTATGCGAATTAATTTTGCAAAAGTGCATGTGTGCAAATTTTTAATTTTTTTTTTTTGGGGATGGGTTATAGATATCAAACGCTAATGCGTGGATAAGAAATTTAAAAAAACAAAAAGATTTACAAAAATAGGCTTACAATAACCCCATTTTTTTAAATTTTTTTTAAAATTTTTTTTTTTTTTTATTTTTATTTTTTTTTTTTTATAGTTTTATAGGTTTTTTCTTAGACCACTTTTTGAAAATTAAAAAAATAAAATTTAAAAAAAAAAAATTTTAAAATTTTAAAAAAAAAAAAATAAAGACGATAATTTTGATTTTTCTTTTTCTTTTTTTTTTTTATTTTAAATTTTATTTTATATTTTGATCACAATTACAACATAATAATATATTTATTTGTATATTGTTTCTTTGTAAATATTTATATTATATTACATTTTCTAAATTTCCCATTCAATTTAGAATTTTCCATAAATAATAAATTTTTTATTTTTTATTTTTTATTTTTTATTTTTATTTTATTTATTCTTTTATATTATTA